TTTTTAAAGCAATTGATTTATATTATAAATCAGCGTTTTTAACCATTCTTATATACCGTTTATATCACAAAATGTCTCCCTGAGACCCCCTTTTGCCCCCCCCCCCCCCCCCATTTTTTTTATACCCTCCACTTACAACTCTTGAATGAAGCTGCATGTGTGCTATTCTGTCAACGGATACGAACGACAACTCCACTTTTTGTCCTTTAATATTTTTATTAAATCTCTTCTGAAAAAAAAAAATCCACATGTATGTTATGTGATCTTCTCGAAAACTACATGTCCAATTGACCTCAAAATCTGCAGTTAGCAGGGTATACATGTATTAAATCTTCATATAACAACGTTGTGCAGCCATCGCCCAAGAATTTTCGTAGAGAAAAGAAATTGCAATGCCGTAAAAATCGCTTGCTAGCTCCGTAAATGTCAATGAAATCCTACAATAATGAGTCTGCTCCTAGATTAAAATACAAATCTGTGTTACAAACTGGTGCTGAAAAATGTACATTGTATGAAAATAATCGATAAACGTGTTTTAAATGTACACAGGATCAATTAAATCCAAAGCATGCACTGCTCGTGAACTTTGATCAAAACATCAATTACCTACAATGAGAAAAGAAATACATTGTGTGTATTCCATGCTATACATGTTGTCTGTCCAACGTGTCCACCTAAAAAGAAATAAAAATGCTAAGTTTTCGCTATTATAAATCCTCGTCACGTGACGCCACAACCTACATGGCGCGAGACAAAGACGCGCGCGGGACCTGAAATAGAACAAAATTTTTTCCAAACTAAATATAAAAACTTAACCATGCCAAGAAATTGCCTCCGTTGAAATTCTGCAAATATCCCATAGAGCAAATTACATGGATGATTAATATTGACCATTTGGTATATGGCTGTGTTCTAAGCGACACGTACATGAAGGTCATAAATTAATTTGTTGAATGAAATCAAATCTTTAACTACTAATGGGTGCCGTAGGAGGTCTACCGGAATTTTTAGCTTAGATTTCTTGGCATGAATAAGTATGATCTGTCTACATGCAAAATTTCAATGAATTCTTATTAGTAGTATAAATAGTGTGATTTCCCTTTAAGTTAGAGAACGGAAACTAAAAATTTTGCAATTTTTCCATTTATAAAGGGGCATAACTCTAGGACGGTTAAAGTGACGCCACCAAAATTCAAACTTGATCTGTGTTTTGTGGTAATAAGCATTGTGTATAAGTTTCATAACATTTGGTTGAGGCAAACTCAAGTTAGAGAACAGAAACCAATTTGGGGACGTACAGACGGACAAGGGTAAAACTTAATGCCCCCACCGCTACGGCGGGGGCATAAAAATTACAATAGCGATATATTAATTAATGATATCAAGACATTTATGATAGCATTCATCTTTTGTTGGGAGCATAGTTTTTCAAAAATAAATTGTTGGTTTCCTCTGAAATAAAAACATTGAGTTTCAAAACAGTTATCCTTGCTCCTGTATGTTATTGAAAAATAAACTGCTTCGCCGAGCGCAGCTGTATACGACCGCAGAGGTCCAACCCTGAACAGTTGGGGCAAAAATGGACACAATATTCAAGCTTGATACAGGTCTGAATTTGGATTGTAATTAAATATTTGATACATTATAGGTTTCTGACACAGAATAAATGTGTCAAAGAACTTGAAATTGGTTGTATGATTAAAATTTATATTCAATTGAAGATTTCTTGTTGTTGTGCAATACACAGTGCTGTTGCGCAATACTTAGTAAATCTGTTTTCAGACTATATACAAAGAATTAGCAAAATAAATTGTGACACCCATTTTTTTCTTTGTAAAATTGACAATTTCTTAAATCTTGAGGAAAAAAAATTGACCCCCCAAAAAATTTCTTTTACCCCCTCAAAAAAAAATATATTGCCCCCCCCCCCCCCCTTTCCAATTTTCTTTTTGTAAAATGTGGTACAAATTAAGAGACATCCATACACCTAAACACAAGTTATTGTCTGAAAACTAGAAAAATGCTTGTTTTAGACCCTTTTTGGCCCCGAATTCCTTTACGGTTTGGGCAATTACCCCAAAATGAATCCCAACCTTCTTCTTGTGATATTGAACCTTGTGGTACAATTTCAGAGCAATCAAAATACTTATACACAAGTTATTGTTCTGAAACTAGAAAAATGTTTGTTTTGGTCCCTTTTTGGCCCCTAATTCCTGAACGGTTGGGACCATCACCCCAAAAACAATCCCAACCTTCCTTTTGTGGTACTGAACCTTTTGCTTAAACTTCATAGAGATCCATACACTTAAACTAAAGTTATTGTCCGGAAACCAAATGTCTTCGGACGACGCTGACGACGTGATACCAATATACAAATTTTTGCGGTCGTATAAAAACCTTTTTGATTTAAGTCGAAAAATGTTTTCCCCGGGAACTCCACCTACCAAACACACACAAACGATGAATAATCGGTGCAGAGGGCATTCTGCAAAAAAGTAGGACAGCAAAATCCTTTTTGGATTTCTTCTTGTAAACACTATTTTACTACCTCTTTTGTCAGTCTTCGTGGTATTGCATCAGTCTTCTCGGCTCCGTAGTCACGGTGAGCGTTTTGTTATAACATTTTAATAGCTGTGTTAGACATGTATTCGTGTCGATATCAACCAACAAATCAAAATTAATGTTCTTTATAATTATTGAAAATAAACATCTAAGATAGAGGGGCGTTTGTCTTCCTGCGGACAGAGTTCCATGCAGTGTATATATATACTAGCACTTTAAAGTCCTGCAACTACGGTAGGCTAGCACAGCAGTCAAAATTATCCACTCTTTACTTGGCCGACCTTGCGAGAGCTTTATAGCCAGTCAAGGTCGTTAATAACCCCCATCATCATATTACCAGTGGAGACAGGGAGGTGGCATAATGTTCAAAGACCAGAGAGAGTATGTCACCTTTGTGAATCTGCTGACATCGGCGATGAATTCCATTATGTAATGTCTTGTCATTTTTTTTTAAAAGAACGATATAAATATTTACCACACTATTGTTGTACAAATGTTAATATTCTTAAATTTAATAATGTATTCACTACAGTCAATATTGTCTTACTAGAAAAGTTGAGTAGATTTATAAATTATATATCAGTGAAAGTCCGTCCTCCTGGTGAAACTATAGTTATTTATGTAATTTTCACACATGCAAAATATGTTATATTGTATATATTTTCATCTCTGTAACTATGTAATTTAGTTAATGAGAATAAAGATCTACCTATCTATTTATCATTTTTGTCACTCAAATTATATCAATTACCTTAAGGTAAAAATAAATTATTAAATGCCCCCAAAAAGGCGCAAGCCAGGACCGACCGTGCGAGGGCGTTATAGTCAGTCAAGGTCGTTAATAACCCCCATCATCATATTAACAATGAATGTTGAAGCTAAATCTGGCTATAATAAAAAAAATCACATATAGCAAGAATTGTGGAATAATAACAAACTAAACATAAACCTTTAATGGAATTGTGAACTGAAGGACACATATAGAAAGATGATGAAGACTAGTAAAGAAGAATCACAAACAAATAGTATAGCTTAGTGTTGACACATATTTCACATGGTAACAAAACAGAGAGACTACATTGATAGTAATACTGTTATCGTAAAAAAAATGTTGCATTATCATCAAAATGAACACTGAAAACGTCGATGAAAAATCTCCATTTATGAGGCCCAAACACCAGCTGAAAAATTCAAATCTCCATTCGTGACTTGACAACTCTGTCACATGTATGCATCTTTTTTAAACCTAGCTTTTTAAAGACCGATTTTGGTTGGACATTTCAAGTCTTTCCTTAACATTGAAGATTTGACATGGTAATATTCCTATAATTTTTGATTAGACACCAATACAAATATTCGTATTCTAATCAGCATGTAGTTTATGATAAAAGCTTTTGGAAATACATGTAGACATTGCTCTTGTAATCAATTTATAAAATTCCATTTTATTCCTTGAAGATGCAACTCCCGGCGTTATTCCATATTTCCCTTGTACTTCTTGTTTAAGTCTCTATAATACCTATCTGTGTCTAATATTCTAATTATACGGTAAAACTGTAATAGGCATTACAACTGTGCTGTATTTCCAATTATTGAAATATTTCATTATAAACGGTGGACTTAGAAAAAGCTTTTAAAAATATCGGAAATTGAGACAATGTTATCTTTTGAAACATAGAATGAACATTTACTACAACACAACATCATTTGGAACACTTCTGATTTTACCATGATGGATAAGTGATTGGTAAAGTAAAGCAGACGATTTTTTAGGCGATAGCGATGCCGCTATGATGAATGAAACAAAACAGACAAGAGAGTTGAACTATGATCTACCGTTTGGAAAGTATTGATAAACAAAATGAAAATATTTTTTTTGTAATCCTGACTTTTTCCAAATGTCAATTTCATGATTTAAAAAATCTGACATGCACAAATGTCTAAGTAGCTTGTGTAATTACTAATGACCGGACGCATTTACGACTGGACACAAATACGAACAATTTCAAATGTTTCAAAGTTCAAAAATCATTCGTAATTATGTCCGGACAGAATTGTTTATAAAATCTATGAGATTAATCTCTGGGAAAAGTTTTTCTAAGCGATCAATATAATGACAAAATAAACTCTGGAAAAGCTAATAACTAAAACTGCCTCTATAGAAATACATGATTTTACTGTTTAAATATTTTGCTGAAATCCATTAGAATTTTTGGTACCTTAAATTTATATCCCATTTAGATTTTACATCTCAAATGTTTTTTTTTAAGTTTGGCTGGCTGGTCCCTATCCATATCTGTGAGCCTCCTCATGGGGTTTTTGATTATGTGATTACTTGGTCGTTTTTACAGTGATTAATAAAAACATAATGTGCTGGATGTATAGTTTGATAGATAAAACTATTGAACAAAAATGTCATTTTCTACATTTCAGAGCATCACAGACTGCAAAAAGATTTGAAGTGGAAGAGTTAACACTTAAACCTATAAACCAAAAGGGAAGTCCTACTGATGATTTATTTCATGACCAATCAGCTTCACAAGATTTATTTGCAACACAAGAAAATATATTTGTTAACCAAAGGTAAAATTAAAAAAGATATATGATATATTTAAGACATGGATGCCTCACTTTTTTAAAACATAGGTTAGCCTTGATTACAATGTTAAACTTCTTGTCCCATTTAATAAATAAATCAAAGCCCATAATGAGTTTATGATTGATAATTGTTTGATTAACATCCAGTGGCAAATATTTCGTGCATGTTCAGGACAAGAACAAATTCGTAATTGGGATCTGCAAGGAAGTGGTTTACTGGGATGAAGGATGGAAATTTTGTCTGCCACTGGAAAATGAATTGCAATGGTAACTTGATATTTTTTAGCAAAGCAAATAGGAACCTTCATTGTCCTTTTTAGGGTTTTAGATTAAGGTGTTTTTTCGGGAGGTAGGATCCAAAAGGGGCCTAATAGGAGTAATACCACCATTGTTTTTCCCCTATTAGTCTTTGTTAAATTTGCACTTTTCAAAAAATTATGCAGAATTAATCTTTGTTTCAAATAAAGAAATACTTGGCATGAGTAAAGTTTTATCCTGTCCAGTACTACAGACAAAATTTCACATGACATTTCATTTCATTTAAGATAATAACCATCACTGGAAGTTAACCAATCAAATGTGCACCCTTTATTTCCTGTGTAGAAGCTTTAGTAACCATGTAACCTCAAGTTTCCAAAATATTCTATAGAAACACCAAATAAAAAAAGAATGGTGCTTTGAAATACCCAAGATATATGTTTATGCTGTTTTCTTGTTATTTTTTTTATCCCAATGGTACTCTTCAAATTTGTTTTAAACATAATCTACAGCATTTTCCAGCTATATTACAGCGACTACCTGTTCTATTGTAGCAAATAATCATTCTTGAGATTTGAAAACTAAAACAAGAATAAGTCCATAGTACATGGATGCCCCACTCACACTATCATTTTCTATGTTCAGTGGACCTTGAAATTGGGGTCAAAACTCTAATTTGGCATTAAAATTAGAAAGATCATGTCATAGGGAACATGTGTACTAAGCTTCAAGTTGATTGGACTTCAACTTCATCAAAAACTACCTTGACCAAAAACTTTAACCTGAAGCGGGACAGACAGACGAACGGTTGCACAGACCAGAAAACATAATGCCCTACTACTATCGTAGGTGGGGCATAAAAATATTTGCATAGATTTTTGATATCTATTTACATTGTGTTCAGCTATATTTTTGTCGAATAACTGTACTGTTGGAGAAATTAGGATTTTGTAAGAAAGCCACATGTTTGAGGCAAGTCATTGGTCATTACAGGACTTTGACTTGAATTGTCCTCAGAACCAAAAGATTTAATAACGCTCAAATAAATATTAAGTAAAAAGTCAAACTGTTTAATTCTTTTCATACAAACTGCTTTTTGGGTTGTTAAGGGACTTGGTTAAATGACAGGGTCAACCAGGTACCATGCACAGAGTAGGAAATGCTTATTCTCCCCAAGCACATCATTTCACTGCTAAAGACTGGTCTGTATTAGTTTATATCACTTCCTTACTAAGAAAATTCTATGGTTGTCATCACAATTTGGTTGACCATTATTCAATGTTCATTTCACAAATGGTTATTGATATGCTCCCATTGTCGTACCTCTAATCCGTTTTTCTTATACTGGCTTTTACTTGAAAGCAGCTTTTTCGTTACCTTTGGACATTTCCACTTGTTTAAAAGCAACTTTGAAATCATTGGTTGGATATGTACTGACTGGTCATCCATTTGCAGAAAATCTGCTATAGATTTGAAAACTAGAAATCTGCTATAGATTAGGAAACTAAAAATTTCCTTTAGATTAGGATTCTAAAAAATCTGCCTTAGATTTGGGATGGCATGATGTCATATTAACCATAGAATGCATAGATTAGGAATCTGCCATAAATCTGGAACCCACCATAGATTTGATTCCTACATATATACTTTTTGTAATAAATATGCACTTTTTTTTAGTGTCTAATAATGCAATGTATTATATTTACTTCCAGGACTATTTTCAGTCAAACCAACAGCTCACAGCTTAGAATGGTAAGTTTTTGGGATTGGTAAAATCTTTGAAAAATCCTTGTTTTTTTGATAAATATCCATTAGTGACATCTTTATTGATTTGGACAAGTGCATCTTTACAAAATAAATGTTGCCAGTTCACTATTAGACGTAAATACCTTATATTCAGCAGCTGGTACATATAAATCATATTCAGGGATTATTGCCTATACAGGAGGAAAACAATAACCATTATTTGAGTTCACTAATTATTGAGAAAAACCAAAATTTTAATTGCAAGGAGAAGTTCTTTTAAAATGTACTTTTCTAAAGGTGTTACATCAGATGATCTTATTTTATGTTATGAAAAATTCAGTTTCTTGAACTTAATGTTTATTTTAAGTGTTGTAGGAAAATTTATTTAATAGTATTTCAGTTCATATGCTATAAGAACAAGCAAGAACCAAGTTAATATTTTTTAATAAGAAAGTAAGTTGTTTCTTGTCTGAAATGAATTGTGTTATAACCTTTTTGCCACAATTTCTTTTAACAAAATTTCTAAATTTGGTGTGTTTTTGGAAGAAATTTTCAACATGCACATGTCATAGACAAAATACAAAAAATTACTCTTGAGTAAAAAATATGTTTCACAACTAAAAATACTTTAGTTTGATGGGCAAAATAAGATCTTCACTATGAATCATGAAATAAAAACTGACCTGCTATACCTTTTGAAGTTTTCTCAAAAAAAAACTTAGTTGCCTGACAAGAAGTTCATTTTTAGACAACTTCCCCATACATAAATTAATGTTTATTTTAGAAGTGTGGAAAAATGGTTTCAAGAGAATGCATTAACCACAAGACACCTAGGGATGATACAGGAGAATCATCATGCAAAAAGAAGCTTAGTAAAACCTTGCCTGCTAATTTCATATCCCTAGAGAACAGTGATTTACCTCATCCAAAACATTTGTTTAGAAAGTATATATAGTCATGAAAACAATTCTCATTATAATAAGATTTTAAGAACCAATAACTTCCATTATGATAATAATTTTGGTATTGAGGAAATAAAACTTTTCTCAGTATTAGTTAGTGTTTATCAGGGTATTTAAATTTGTCCCACTGAATCAATATCTAATGTTCTCTGTGGAGTTCATTCATTGATTAATTTTGCTGTACAAAAAAAAATTAAATTAAACTCCTGGTGATGAAAACATTTCAAAGTTTTCATACCAACTTATTTCAATAACTGACTCGGTTTCATGTGAACTTAAAAAAATTCCAGCAATTATTGAAAATAAACTGTTGACACGGAGATATGTCTCGCCTTTTTGCAATTAGATAGAATAATGCAAATATTGAATTCAAATGGCAATATTTAAACATGTAAACTATGCAAAATATTCTAAGTCAATGAACCACAACTGATGGTGCAGGACCAAATAACCTAATGGAAATGAGAAATACCAATGCATTATAAAACTGCATACCAAATACCATTGATTTATCATCAGTGGTTCTCTTTACAATAACCTTATTGCGAACCCAATGAAAGTTTTCCACAGTGCCATCTCTATCTTGACCAGGTATTTAAACTTTTGCAAGTTCACCTGTCCTATTGAATAGATACAATAGCTATTGTTCTCTGTGTAGTTTATTCTCTGGGACCTTTAAATTTCTTCTAAGAGAAATCTATCATTCATTGATTAAATTACCTGAGTAAAAAAAAATTCTTATATATAGACAAAAATACTGTTTTTATACTCATTAACTGCGTGTGATGATGTAGTTATTCAATATTAATAATATATTTTCATTCAGTTTAATATAAACATTGATTCAATCATAAAAATTTGATTTCTGACAAAACTTTCAACATTGTTCCTTTTAAAAAAAAATTTGTTTGACATGAATAAGAACTTGAAAATAATGATTTTTCAAATTAAGATCTTCTTAAATGTATTCCATAACTAAACAAAAAAAAATCAAATTTCAATAGGAACATTGATAAAACTTTTGTTAGAAATCAACTTTTTATGATTGAATCAATGTTTATATTAAACTGAATGAAAATATATTATTAATATTGAATAAATACATCAGCACACGCAATTAATGAGTATAAAAAAAGTATTTTTGTCTATATATAAGAATTTTTTTTTACACAGGTAATTCAATCAATGAATGATAGATTTCTCTTAGAAGAAATTTAAAGGTCCCAGTGAATAAACTACACAGAGAAAAATAGCTATTGTATTCATTCAATAGGACAGGTGAACTTGCAAAAGTTTAAATACCTGGTCAAGATAGAGATGGCACTGTGGAAAACTTTCATTGGGTTCGCAATAACACAAACTTCAATTTGTAAGCAATGTAAAAGTTTCAAAGGTAATGAACAGTTCTGTGGGGGTTGGGCTATATAATCACCATGGGAAAGAGACTTGCTAATGCTAATACAACTGCATACCAAATATCATTGACTTAACATTAGCGGTTCCTCTTAAACTGATCTAAGTTAACATGTAAACTATGCAAAACTTCAAGGTCAGTAGTCCATGACTGAGGGGGCGGAGCCAAATAATCTCCATGGAAATGAGATGTGCCTATTCTTATTCAACTAGATACCAAATATCATTGACCTACCACTAGTGGTTCCCCATAAACTGACCCAATCACAAACTAATACATTTTTGACGCTACTGCCGTGAGAAACAGCATACTGAAGTCTCCCTTTTTGACTCTTGTCAAAGCGAGATAAAAATGGAAAGAAAATTATTTCATGATTACTTTGGCTTAAAGTTTGACCTAAAGACTTCAATGTCATAAAGATTTCCCTTTACAGTTTCAAATGGCATTCATCTGTCCATGTTTAATAAAGATTGCTGTAACCCTGGACTTTTCACCTCAAAATTAAAATTAAGACCATTTATAACATAAGAAGTTTAAATCAGATAAAGAATTACCGTAAGATTTCTTGTCATGCATTTAATGGAAGAGGAAAGTTTATATGTAATTATAGTGTTTTATTAAATTCTATTGTTGAAATTTTCAATGCTAATTATTTGTACATCTAGGAAAAGAACAAAAAGACTGCAGGCACCACAAGTCAATAAGAAAGATTTGAATGATAATTTGAAAAATTCTGTGAATGGACACATACAACAGTTAAGATCAAAGTTAGCTCACAGGTAAATGTTTAAAACCAGAAAAATGTGTAATTAGAAGCGAAAAGTTTGAACATGATTTCAAAGTTAATCCTGTGTTAGCCTACTGAGCAATTATAAATAATTCTACAGGGTGGTCATTTTTTACAAAGTTTGGTTTACGGGAGTCCTGGAATTTCCAAAACACCTTTTATGTATTGCCACTACAGGAAAACCTGATCCATCCATATATCTTCTTGATATAAAATATGAAAAAGATAACTCTATCAGTGGACACATTGATAACATCATCACAGTTGTATGACATTTTCATGATGGTAAGGATTTTGCTGAACCAGCCAAGAAGTTGAGGGAATAAAAGGGTATTTAGGATATATATCAAAAAACAAAAAAGGTCAACATAAGGTCTTCAACAATCAACAGTAATCTATTGCAAATACAGTCAAACCTGCTTTAGAGAGCACTTGTATTAAGCAAAAACCTGTGTTATGATACCATTAATTTTAGGTCCCTCTGTAGTGCATTTCATATTGATTAAACATGTATTAAAAAACTGCTTCGCTGAGCGCAGAGGTCCAACCCTGAACAGTTGGGGCAAAAATGGACACAATATTCAAGCTTGATACAGGTCTGAATTTGGATTGTAATTAAATATTTGACATATTATAGGTTTCTGAATAAATGTAGTCAAAGAACTTGAAATTGGTTATATGAATTGAATTTATATTCAATTAAAGATTTATTTCTTGCTGTTGTACAATACACTGTGCTGTTGCGCAATACATTTTGTACTTAGTAAATCTGTTGTCAGACTATAAACAAATAAAATCTTGTAACACAGAAACATAAAATCGAAAATTTATAAAAATCAAAAGGGAGCTTACATCAATAGATATAAACAATTTACCAAAGTTTCATAAAAAATGCTTTCAGCATTTTTGAGTTATTGTCTGAAAACTGGAAAATCCCCCTTTTTGTAATGAAAAAAAACCATAAATCGGAAACGTATAGTCTAAAATTTATAAAAATCAAAAGGGAGCTCATGTTGATAGAAATAAACAATTCACCAAAGTTTCTTGCAAATTGGTGAAATTGTTTTTGAGTTATTGTCCGAAAACTGGAAAATCCCCCCTTTTTTAATGAATAAAACCCCAAAACTCGGAAACGGTACATCTGAAATTTGATAGAAAAAAACAATTCACCAAAGTTTCTTGCAAATTGGTGAAATTGTTTTTGAGTTATTGTCCGAAAACTGGAAAATCCCCCCTTTTTTAATGAATAAAACCCCAAAACTCGGAAACGGTACATCTGAAATTTATAAAAAACAAAAGGGAGCTCATGTCAATATATATAAACAATTCACAAAAGTTTCATGCCTAATTGGTGAAATTGTTTTTCGAGTAATTGTCCGAAAACTGGAAAATCCCCCCTTTTTTAATGAATAAAACCCCAAAACTCGGAAACAGTACATCCGAAATTTTAGAAAAACGAAAAGGAGCTCACATCAATAGATATAAACAATTTACCAAAGTTTCATGCATATTGGTTAAAGCGTTTTTGAATTAATGTCCGACATGTTGACGACGGACGGACGGACGGACGGACAGACGGACGGACAATGGTATACCATAATACGTCCCGTAAACGGGCGTATAAAAAACTACCTGTCTAATGAGACCAATGTTTTGCTCTCCCTTAAGTGGTCTTTTATAACAGGTGTCACTGTACTTAATTGCTTCAAATCTAGAAAGTTATGAATAAATTTAACAGATGCCATCAACAATCTGCCATCTAAACTAAATTCCCTGAATGCTGATATTCAGAAAGTTGAGATACATTTTGTACATACATACCTATGATCCTTTATTCTGGAGAACAGCCATCTCTTGCTGGAGGTTGTGGGTTTGATCCATGGCCAGATCAAACCAAAGACTTGAAAATTGGTATTTGCTGTTACTCTGCCAAGCACATGGCATTCAGGATAAATAGCAAGAACTGGTCAGCTTGCAATCAGAATAATGTGTTCAGGAAGGGCAAAAAGTCTTCCTGCCAACTGTCACCTTGTGAACTAGCACCTTAAAAATCCAGCTCAGTATGTTGGTCTAGGAAATAGCAGGATTCTTATTCATAACTTATTATAATCTGTTCTCCCTCTGATATGAATACATGTATTATTTTCTACTGGATGTTAAACACCAAATTTATTATCATCGTCTATTCTGAAGGAACAGTGTATAAAAATTATCAACTCTTTGATAAAATCAGAGACATATAATTGTATTATATGTCTCTGATAAAATCTAGCTCATACATTGCATTGCTTCTATAAAAAGATTACAAAATTATTAGAATCTTTTGATTCTCCTGATCAAAATTTCCATTTCTTCTGATATGATTTTATTACTCTTGTCACATGTTTATACTTATTATTACAGGGTTACAGTCAATACAAGCCTAGCATCGGAAAAAGATGAGAAAATTTCCTTAAAGGTATATTTAAGCAGTAAAAGAAGCTTGTTTGGGTAGTGTGGCTCTATTTTATACATTTGTATACACATAAGGAAATTTATAAAAGTGTGTGAATAGAATTTTTTACAATTTTAGAGGAAAAGGTTTATAACTAGTTTTTCCATGTTGCAGAGAGAAATAGCACTGGTTGTAAAAGTTGTTGTCTGGGAAGTAACATAACAGTTTCAAGTTCCAAGGGGAATTTCCTAGTTTTCCTTTTCTAACCAATGCAATTATCATGGTTTGTTTGCTTATAAAGTAATAAGTTAAAATTTTAACTTGAAACATCCTATGAATCATTCAGGTCAACCTTACTTAATAAATGCTGAATGGATGTATTATAGTGAAGATTTTTGAAAAGTTAAAGAGATACACAATGATGAGTAAAAATATATACCAAATTATGGAAAATAGCTCACAATGGTCGTTTGGGCCAGGTGAGCTAAAAAATATAGTATGTTTCTATGACTTGACTGCAAGTGTTGCCATTAAAGTCAAATAAAAAAATTACCAAAGTGATTACTTGGTAAAATTAATTTTCAAACACATAGACCAAGAAACCAGCAACAAGTCAGGAAGGAGTGTAAGTTTTGCATATATATGCAAATAAGGGATCATTCTTACAATGAGATCTCTTATTGTAACACAAATCAGTTATAATTAGACAAAGGTTGTTATACTAATTTTTAAGCACCAAATAAATTGCCATTTCTGGACAAATTCATATTTACTGTCTTAAAAATGGGAGATTACTCCGGACTATCACATGAGAATTGGAATAGACTATCTCCTCATAAAACCATTTTCATTTTATAAAAAAAAAATATATTCAAGCTGAAAGTTTTTCATTTAAATCATAACAAAGCTCTATAATTAGAAAAGAAATAAGATGTTATATAGAAATTAATAAATAGCATATAGTTGCAGATAAGGTAATATAATGAGTTTTGCCGTTAATCTGACTTTACAACGGGTAACCTACTATCAATTCATTACCCGACCAATTTAAGTCACACAAGACAGATCTAGATAAGGATTTTTCATTTTGCTCTTGGACAGACCTCTAACACTGATTTCCTGCAGTAGTTAGATAAATATTTCACTAACTGATTAGTTTGGTGACTTCGGTAAAAAAAAAACAAACTGAAATTTGGTAACTTTTACCCAACTGCAACACTTTCAGTTTTGTCAAAATAAATTGAAAGGCTGGTCAGGGGTATTAATTGTTTTATTTTCCTTTATGAATTCTATATAAAGCTGAAAACACATATTGATATTATTTTATATTTTTGGGGTTCACATTGTTCGATATTTTAAACATGTTAAATACATGAATCCAAGTCACAATTTGTAAAAGTAAACCATAATAGGTCAAAGTACGGCCTTCAACACGGAGCCTTGAGTCACACTGAACAGCAAGCTATAAAGGGTCCCAAAAATGACTAGTGTAAAACCATTTAAACAGGAAAACCAATGGTCTAATCTATATAATTTGTTCATTTCAGATCAATTTTTTTCCTGAAGCACAGTTTTTACCCTTGGAATATAGTACTGATGAAAACACAGATAAATCACCCTTTTTGAAGTTTGAAAATGAATGTTTACCTCACAAGTCTGAAACATGGGAGGAATTAAATGTGTCACTTTATCAGAGATGGATGACTGGTGCCTCTTATGTTGAGGAAGAATGATAATCTAATTCATTAATAGACTATAAAGATACATTCAAATTTATCTGTGATAATTCTTTTGTTACAAAACCAATGGAAGTTAAGCAACCAACAATCAATCAATCATTTGTTACAAAATATATCACACAAGTGTTCACCAATTTGTTAATATTTGTTTTATTTCACTGCACTCACTTAATACTAACAAACTTTCTCTGAAGCAATTAGCTTTACCAGTTGATCAGTTTTTAGGAGTGAATTCAAACTGCAATTGGGTAATTTTTTTTTAGCAGTTTAAGAGTTGCCATGAAAATTAAGCTTGTGAAACTTATATATTTTCATCTGACAAATATAATCTTGATAAATGCTGCTAAAGACTAAATTTAACACAGATAATTTATTTTTATGTACATATATATGTGTTTAATTTACATTGTGCTACAAACTTTAAAAAGTTCTCTTGGATTATTATTTGATAAGAAAATCAGCTGTTTTCTTCCTTCTTGAGTTTTTCCTACAAATAAAGATAAGTGATGTAAAGAATTAACTCAAGACAAAGGAGCCTTCTAAAAATAGTTGCTCACCTTGCTTTTATGCATAACTCTTGACTTAATAAAGACACGTCATGTGGATATAATTCAGAGAAAATAGATTGATCCATTTTGTTATGTAAGGTCCTTTATTATCTTACTATACAGTGTTGTTTTTGCTCATTGTTGAAGGCTGTAAGGTGACCTATAAATTCTTATATCTACATCATTTGGTTCCAGTGGATTGTCGTCTCATTGGCAATCATAAGTGTTTTGACTCATTGGTACTCTAAAAGGACAAAGCCTTTTGGAGAAGCACAATAAGTAACAGTATGTGATGTTAACTATCATTCTAAAGGAGACTTGTATATTTCTTCTTTTTGAATCATTTTCTATTTTTCATATCTGGACACCTGTGTTTGGTGATGATAATTCAAGGGGCATCAACTCTAATTACTCAACTGGACTGTCAATACATCATTTACATGAAATTTGGTGGCAATTGGTTCTTAATATTTTTCAGAATTTCTGTAAAATTTTCTGTTATTAGTTTTGTGGCAATCAACATTTGATGGCGGTTAAGGGTCATCAACCAGAATCTTTAAGATCATATATGTGCAAAAGTTTGGTAGTAACTGGTGGAAAATATGACTTTCAAATATTTTATTTTTTATAAGTTAAATCATCTATTTTAGCAACAATAGGAATGGAAAAATCAATCACAGAAAACCGAGACTCCATATAATTTACTAGGGTAGGTAAGGGGGTCATCATCTAAAAAAGGACCATCTGAGAAACAATTCAACTAAGTTTGACAAAAGAAAGGATTAAAATGCGTGTTATTAACTATTTCAAGTAACAGTCACTACCTTTAATCAGTATCATTTCTCCTAACTTTTTTTTTTAGGATTATTATTTTATCTTCCATTTTTGTGTATAACAGTTGTCACATCTTAATGGACAGGCTGTGTTATCTAACACTTTAGCTGGTGGTTGGTAATGTATCTACTTTTGACAAGAACAGATCAAAAACATAGGAAAGCCTGTTTTACCCTTAATTACTATGTATACATATGATGGCCACACTGGTCGACAGGATCATCGGATATTATCTTGCAGATAATCTTATCTAACTTTAAAACCTAAATTAACCAGTAGCTTTCTGGACAATGCTGTACAACGTAAGAAGAAAAGATTCCTCAAATAAGTGGAATAAAAAAGTTTTATCTTATTAGAACAAATTGGCATATAAAGGTAGGAAAACAGAATATCTTCATAGTCTATGCAATGTAACATACCACAAATGCTTAAGTACAGGAAGGTGTAATATGATATTAACCAACAAGAGTAAACCAAAAGAATGTTTCCTCTGATCAATGATAACAGTTTTTCTGATATAAATACCAAATACTACCCGACTTGTTTTGATTTCATAAAAAACTTTAGTGCATCTGTAAATTCTTTTTTCAACATAATAATCACACAAAAATAAATTGACATACCACTTTCTTTTAAAATCCAGCGTCTATCTGTATAGTATTCCATCATACTTATGGCTTCCTTATCTGAATATTTTTTTACATGAATTGGAATGAAAGGATCCAGTGCAGCAAATCCCTACAATACAAATTCTTTACATAGGTATTTGGTATAGAAGATTCAATAAACAGCTGCGCCATGAGCGCATGATACGCCCGTCGCTTTTTCAAAGAATAAAGTTCAATAACTTCTCAATGTTATATCAGAAATTCATGAAAAACTAAAGGAAGGTTATCTTAATAGATATAAACCAGTCACCAAAGTTTCATGAAAACTGCTCAAAGCACTTTGAAGATATTGTCCGAAAACTGGAAAATCACCCATTTTTTATGAATAAAATCCCATAACTCGGAAATGTAGAACCTAAAATTTATAAAAATTGAAAGGGAGCTTGCGTCAAAAGATATAAACAATTCACCAAAATTTCATGAAACTGCTGAAAGCATTTTTGAGTTATTGTCCGAAAACTGGAAAAATCCCCCTTTTTTTTATGAATAAAACCCCACAACTCGGAAATGTAAAATCAAAAATTTATAAAAATCGAAAGGGAGCTCATGTCAATAGATATAAACAATTCACCAAAGTTTCTTGCAAATTGGTGAAAGTGTTTTCGAGTTATTGTTGGAAAACTGGAAAATCCACCTTTTTTAATGAATAAAACCCCATAACTCGGAAATGTAAAATCTAAAATTTATAAAAAACAAAAGGGAGCTCACATCAATAGATATAAACACTTCACCAAAGTTTCATGCAAACTGGTTAAAGCATTTTTGAGTTATTGTCCAACATATTGATGATGGACAGACAACGGTATACCATAATACGTCCCGTAAACGGGCGTATAAAAATTTGTATTGGCTACATGAATGTCTTGCATAGTGTTGGAAGTGCTTACCCGTATAAATTTCTATATTAACAAACTTAGTACTTAAAGCTTCTTTTCTGTGACTGGGAGCATTCTTTGATATGGTATTATTTAATAATACTATTTTCCTTGACTAGTGTTTTTGTTATATATATATCAAACTATTTTTATAGAGTTAAGTGATTTTTCTGTGCAGATTTTAATTGTATGTTTTTTTATTTACATTTTTTAGTCTAGTTAGACAGAGATTAAAAGTGGGAGGGTTGAAATCCCAATAACTAGTTTAACCCTCCAAATATTCATGGCCTGTCCAGATTCAGGAACCTAGTCAGTGGTATTCTTTTGTCATATCTTAATATTTTTTTATCATTTGGAATTGATAGCAAATCGAGTTGTCTGTTGAATTTATTCCCATTTTTTCGGAATTACCGTTAGGTCAGTTAAGGGCATACGATAGTTTTGATCCCATGGTGAATTTTTGACGAAAGTTTGCATACAAGCTATTTTTCACCTAGTCAATTAAAATATGTAATAAAATATATACCTTCATGTGCTACTTTAGAGATAAATGGGGTCGAAATTTTAGACATTTACTGGACATTTCGGTTTCTTGGAAATTTCTATCCAATGGAAAGACATACTTAACTTTTGATTCAAAAGATAAACCCAAGGCGAGTTTTGTAAAAACATCTGGAATATCTCCTCTACATAATTGTATTTTGAGTTTGTGTAACAATTCTTTGGAAGTAATTCATTTTTATCATATTTTCATGATTTTAGTAAAAAAAAACAGCATTTTTGGCTGTATATTTCTCCAATTTAAAAAAATTTCATTGGTGATTTGTAAAAATTGGCACAAATCATCTTCATAAATAATCAAGCCTAATGTCATTTTTAAAAAGACGAGTCCATGAACTCGTTTTCAAGTTAAATCAGTCTGAATGATAAAAATCAGTCAAAAATGCATCGTTTCTCGATATGTCACAGTTTGATGTTGCGAAAAATAACATTTTACATTAGCCACATCATTACCTCCCCTGTAACTATCGTATGCCCTTAAGAGCTTTACATATTGCATTAACACTTCTCTTTTCTTGAAGACAGTTTTTTAACCATTAGCTGTCTTTTGTGTTTAGAGTTTGCTGTCTAATTGATGTATATACCACATCTCTTTCTATTTGAACCGCATGGGTGGTCTCTTGGTAGTGCATTTGCCACGAGTGCCGGAGATCGTGGGTTCGAACACCGGCCAGGTCAAACCAAAGACTTTGAAAATTGGTATTTGCTGCTTATCCGCTAAGCACACAGCAGTAAGGAGTAAGAGCAACGACTGGTCGGCTCGGAGTCAGAATAATGTGTCCAGGTAAGGTGACTTGTCTTCCTGCGGACTGTTGCCTTATGAACTAGGACGTAAAAAATCCGACTCAGCATGTCGGTCTAGTAAAAAGCAGGATAAATATTCATATTACATTAACATGTTCTTGTCCTGAATATGCATATTAATTTGCCGCTGGACGTTAAGCAACCATCCATCTTCATCATCTTTCTATTTGTATCATTATTTAGAAAAAAATATCCATAAATACCTCTCTGCCCAACAGATATTGTGGAGTAATTGTATCTGTTCTGATTACTTTAGGTATTAAATTGGAATCAACTGTTGCAACACATATACTATTAACCTGTAAGTATATGCATATTAATATAAAACATTTATCAAATCACTTTATATTTTGTCATTCTCTCTATCAAATATTGTAAACTTAATTTGTTAACCAAAGATAACTATTTGTACTTGATTCCATTTCTTTAATAGATAAATAATGAAATTGTGGTGAAAGGTCAACAACAATATTAAAAGTAATCAAATTATGAAAAGTGAACACAAATAATTTATTGTAAAAATGAAGACTATCAAAATTATGATAGATAGTCAAATTAATTATGTGAAAGCTTCTATTCAAAAGATCTAACTGAGGTTAACTTGGACATGAGTCCTTGTTTGATTTTTTTTTAGATTTTAACAAAATGTTAAGAATGAAATTACCATTCAAACTCTCAAAATTGAAATTTATTTGTTTTAAGTCATGATGTGTTTGTATGACAAGACCTTTTAATTAGCAGCAACAACAGATGTGACCAGGGCTATATATTTGTCATAAACTGTTAACACAGAGATATGTCTCACCTTTTTGTAATTTTGATAATGCAAATCTTGAAATTAAAATAGCAATACTTTAACATGTAAGTTATGCAAATATTCAAAGTCAATGAACCATAACTGAAAGTACATGGCTAAACAATCTCCATGGAAATGAAATGTGCCAATGCTAATACAACTGCATACCAAATACCATTGACTTATCATAAGTCGTTCCCTTTAAACAAACCTAAACATAAACATTAACTTGTAAACTATGTAAAAGTTTCAAAGTCAATGAACCATGATCAGGGGTGGGGCTATATAATCTCAAACGAGACTTGCAAAAGCCAATAAATTTGCATACCAAATATCATTGACTTAACATTAGCAGTTCATCTTAAACTGATCTAATCACAAACTAGTATATGTAAACTAAGCAAAAGTTTCAAAGTCAATAGACCATGACTGAGGGGGCTGGACCAAATATTCTCCATGGAAATGAAATGTACTAATGCTTATACAACTGCATACCAATTAACATTGGCCTACCACTAATGGTTCCCCTTGAACTGACCTAATCACAAACTAATACATGTAAACTAAGCAAAAGTTTCAAAGTCAATAGACCATGACTGAGGGGGCAGGGCCAAATAATCTCTATGGAAATGAGATATGCCAATGCTTATACAACTGCATACCAAATATCATTAACTTACCACTAGTGGTTCCCCATAAACTGACCTAATCACAAACTAATACATGTAAACTAAGCAAAGTATCAAAGTCAATAGAGCATAACTGAGGGGGCGGGGCCAAATAATCTCCATGGTAATGAGATGTGCCAATGCTAATACAACTGCATACCAAATATCATTGACCTACCACTAGTGGTTCCCCATAAACTGACCTAATCACAAACTAATACATGTAAACTAAGCAATGTATCAAAGTCAATAGAGCATACCGGTAACTGAGGGGGCGGGGCCAAATAATCTCCATGGTAATGAGATGTGCCAATGCTAATACAACTGCATACCAAATAGCATTGACCTACCACTAGTGGTTCCCCATAAACTGACCTAATCACAAACTAATACATGTAAACTAAGCAATGTATCAAAGTCAATAGAGCATACCGGTAACTGAGGGGGCGGGGCCAAATAATCTCCATGGTAATGAGATGTGCCAATGCTAATACAACTGCATACCAAATATCATTGACCTACCACTAGTGGTTCACCATAAACTAGACCTAATCACAAACTAATACATTGTTGATGCCGCCATTGCCGACGCCGGAAACAGCATACCTATGTCTCGCTTTTTTACTCCGTCAAGGCGAGACAAAAACTGGGTAAACTTTAACATTCAAAATTTATTTATTAACTCCACATTATGAAACTATTTATGAAAATTAAGTTAAGTAACTGGATGCACATGTGTAAGTACAATTTGCCTTCCAGTTATATTTTTGTAAGTCAAAATACCAATATTTGCCAAACATAGGTCAACTGTTATGAAATGCATATTTGTTTTGTCCCTTATAAATTTCTACAGTGTACACTCAAATATCAATATCTGCTACATGTCTGTGGGCTTAAGACCAAAAATATATAGACAAGCACATGCACTGTAATCAGTGATCGGGAAGGACGTGCGCCTTGCGCCAATTGCGCTTATCGACCAGAAATGGCGCATAGAGTGACAAATGTAAGCGCCCGCGTGGCGCATGATATTTTTCACTTCGTTTTGAAACGTTGAGATATCGTCAAATGGATTTCTGATCGTATTTCGTGCCGCCATTTGTGAGTACACAACTGTAGTGTTTACTCCAATACACCTTATCGCTAATCCCGCTTGACCCGAGAATCAGTCCCGCTCGAACTTTTGACGTCATACAACAATCACTTTTCCATTGTGGCGTCAGATATTTTCTATTATGACGTCAAAATTTTACGGGAACTTGTGTGATGTCCAGTAATGGCGGACAAATAGTGATAAGGTGTATGATAGGAGCACCTATATATTTTTGGGACGTCTCGGGTATTTTCAATATTGTAATAATGGTTACAAGAGCGCAATTATTCGTAATGCATTTTCCATAGGGTACCACTGGTGTTCCGTATTTTTTTTCTCGAAGACTACACAAACTAGGGAAAAACGGATTGCAGTTCCTGTTACTAGAAATGCCAGTGTTGCATTACAACCAAAAAAATATATAGGGTCATGCGGCAGAAATTGACTTAAAATGCAGTTGAAAAAGATCGTCTATTTTTTTCGCTTAATGAAAAAGGCATATTTTTAATGGCTCCGACGTGCAGAAATGGAGGATATTTTCTATACTTCGTAAAATGTGAATATGATTTTCTGCAATTTTTAAACCTAATTGGATAAGCTTTCGATTAAATGTAATTCCAATCCTGTATCATCCAATCAGAAGCCGTATAGGATTCTATTCTGAGTACCATCTTGAGGTAAAAAACTTGCCGGTAAAATGTAAACAAATAATTGCGCTCTTGTAACCTATACGGTAATGAAAAAAAATTCCGAAAATTAAGCGCCCGCGCTAAATGAAGCGCTAGCGTCTATCTAGATAAAATCACGTCTTTAAAACATTATCTGATCACTCTCTTAATTTTGAGAATTAGTTTTTGCCCGCCGATCGGGCCAAAAATTTGAACTGATTTTTTCACCAAATACGGTACTGTTCAAAAAGACATGAAGATAAAGTTTATTTACTGGCCTTATTTTTCAAAGGTCACCCAGCACTGATCATATTGTCGACAAAACCGTTCTGATATGGAAAAGCTACATCGAATTTTGAAGAATGGCTTTAAATGAAACCATTTCTTGAAAAAACACGTTTTTGAAACAGACTATAGTTTTTCTAAATTTTGAAAATATGATAATATTACTACTTTGGCAAGATAAACTATTCTTGGACTACAATATTCAATGCCAAGATTAATTTTTCTACTTTGCAATTTAACTAAATCGTTGGTGTTTGCTTAGGGACCCTTTCGGTCAATTTTCACCAAATTAGCTTTTTGCTAGAATAGCAACTGAGTCACGATCATTATTGTTAAAAACCAAAATGAATCTTCAAATTCAAGATATACACATGCTTTTCCCCATAAAAACAGTACATATCACAAAACCGTTCTATTCTCTTCATACTTTGTCGACAATCGAGCCCACCCTAGATTTAGATATGGAAATCAACACAAATAGGAAACAGACTATAGCTTGAATTCACGTTAATGAAAAGTCCATTTGACCCAATTTCTCGCTGTTTCACATTTTTTCCGAGCAAAATGACTATTTTTAACATTTTTCAAAGCCTTATTAAAAAAAAATGTCTTTTTTCTATAGGTTACAAGAGCGCAATTATTCGTAATGCATTTTCCATAGGGTACCACTGGTGTTCCGTATTTTTTTTCTCGAAGACTACACAAACTAGGGAAAAACGGATTGCAGTTCCTGTTACTAGAAATGCCAGTGTTGCATTACAACCAAAAAAATATATAGGGTCATGCGGCAGAAATTGACTTAAAATGCAGTTGAAAAAGATCGTCTATTTTTTTCGCTTAATGAAAAAGGCATATTTTTAATGGCTCCGACGTGCAGAAATGGAGGATATTTTCTATACTTCATAAATTGTGAATATGATTTTCTGCAATTTTTAAACCTAATTGGATAAGCTTTCGATTAAATGTAATTCCAATCCTGTATCATCCAATCAGAAGCCGTATAGGATTCTATTCTGAGTACCATCTTGGGGTAAAAAACTTGCCGGTAAAATGTAAACAAATAATTGCGCTCTTGTAACCTAATAGCAACATGCGGTATGACTGATTACCCAAAAAACGTAATTAACCATCATTCATGATATAATTTTTTATAAACAACTTAAAATTTGTGAAAATTGGCTAGCACAGGCGAGAATTCTTTTCTAATTATAATCTTTTATGTAAGCTTGCTAATATTTCGATTGAAAATCCAAAAGCCTTTTTATGAATAGCATAGTATTTGTCTCCATAAAAGGGGCTTAACTGTCCTTGTCATTTTTTTTTGGTCTTTGGCTCGTTTTGACATTTTGTAAACATGCCTTCAGCGAATTTTTGTTGTGTCTTATCAATTAACGTTGCTCTCTACTGTTGTTCTTGTCATCGTGATGAAGTAATAATAATACCAGTGTAGAGGAAATGCCAGAAACTTCCTCTAATACGGAACGTCTGGAAATAAGTATGGTATCGACGAAGACCCAAATTTAATGTAAAAAAAAACATGAACATGAACAACATGAACAAGGGAACAGTACCAGTTTTAACATTGTAAATAAAGGTTATCGTAAATATTGCCCGGTTTGGAAGAAGTTATTGTATATTCATTGAAATTGAAATTATAAAATCACAGGAACAAATCCATGATATTAGTTAGAATCATACTTGTAAGTACAGTGAAATATACACTTTTTTAATTTTTGTTTTTATTGTAAACGAATGGCCCACTCATTTGACAACATGGCCCATTAATTCTAAAAATGGCCCATTGAATTAATTTTTGGGGGGCCCTGGGCCCATAGAGAAAAAATCCTTCCAGATCACTGTGTAATTTGTCAAAAGCAGATCAACTGGATTGATTGATTGCTTGTTAGTGTGTTAACACCACTTTCAGCATTTTCAGCACTATTGGCTATATCATGGCAGCCATTTTTATCAGTGGAGGAAGCCAGAGTGGCTGGAAAGACACAAATTGGCAATTATCTGTCCATTATGCAACAATAAAGAAACAGATCAGATCAAAATATATATGAGTGATGAAAAAGTACAGACAATTTTTGCTTATTGAATTTTAGAAAGACAAAATGAAGCTATGGGTAAACAGCCAATTAATAATTGATGAGGCATATTTAGAATAATAGTTATTCATACTCACCATATCAGGTTCTAACAACCTTTTAAAATTATCTATAAGACTCAAGTCTGAAGTAGAAATCTGAAATAAAAAAGCATCCAACAATAATCTCTACATGGCAACCCATTAGAGCTATTATATAAATCCATGTTGACCAAATGTTGGATTGACTTGCAAAGTTTTTTAGGATGTTTGATCAAGCATTATAATTTCCGAAAGAGAGAATTTTTTTTCTAAAATCAAAACTTGACTGGTTACAGATAGAAAGTGTCCAGATTCAAATTTAAAAATTTTCTCTGATCAAGTGCCCTCTAGATCCAATCTCAAAGCATTGAATTAAAAAAAAATCTTCTAAGTTTATGAATAATTGAAAATAGCTAACATTTTCACATTAGTAATTCGGCAGAAAAAGGAAAACTTACAGTACCCATGAAATTCATAATAATCATTAAGTAAGACAAAAAAATATAAAAAAAATTTCATGTTACAAACAATTGAGCAAGTCTAAATATTGATTAAAATAACTTCAAAAACCTAACATTCCATTAAACTGACTTACAAATCCAGTTCCTGCTTTGGCCTGTTCTGTATCTTTAAATGCTTTATCTGTAACTTTCATTCTTGTTGGTCCAAAAAATCCATTTATACCATCGGCCACAACCAAAACTTTAATCCTAAAAGAAAGACAGTTTTCTCATCTTAATGTGTTGTTGGGAAATACTGTCTTTTTACCTTATACCTCACATCTCTTGCTATTATTTTATATTGTTTGTAGTATACTGAAGACAACTTTTTGCATTTAAAAATTAAATTGTATTTTACTACATCTAAGAAAGAAATTGTATATCGGTAATGAAAAGACAGTATCTTTTAGATTTCTTTGCCTCTTACAATCTTTAATTTGCTGGGATGTTACCCAGTATCTGTGTGTCCTACAAGGCCCAGATGAAGAGTCATCAACAGGTTGCACAAAACTTCACCAAAGACAAGAGTTGGGGGACTTCTTGAAGGGTAGTTGTGAGTGAACATTTTATTTAAACTTATCAAAATTTGTTTTTTAAGGGGAGAGGAGAAAGATGCATAATACAAATATTTCATTTCTCATATATTTTTATATAACTGGAATTTGTAAATTTTATCTCTTTAAATTTATTTTTTAAATCATTGCTTAAACTACAGGAATGTACAAATAAATAATCATGGTAAAATCCACTGTTTTATGATAGTAAAGAAACTGAGAAATCAATAACACCTACAACAGTTTGAGAAAAGGCATATTATTGGCACTAGATTAAAAAATTCAAATAGGAAGCATATCTTTTAATAACTTTTTCAAAATTCTGGATCGGCAGCTGAACAGGACAAGGATATAGAACATCGAGAGTATTGCCAGAATTTCATATCCAGGTGAATTAAAAGTTACTAGACTATACGTTAAAACACATACTTCCTCTGAGATGCAAGTAATTTCATTTCTTTGAGTAATGCTCCAACAACATCATCAGCAAACTTAACTCTTTGAAGTCCCTAAAAGTAACAGAAAAGACTACAACTTAAAGTTGTCTCCCTTATATAACAATAACCATTATTTCAGGACTCCTTGAGTCTGACCAGTTAAAGATCAACAATTGTAAAAAGAAAGAATGAATTTATCACCAGTCTGTTTGAGACAACACAGATATTGACCTATTAAGGCTATTTTGCCTCATCTATTTTCTATCTTCTAACAAACAATATATAGCTAATATGAAACAATTACTTTAAAAGAAACCATTTAGTTTACCACAGATGATAATGTAGACCTTGTTAAAAATTGGAAAATAAAGATTTTGAATTTCTTGTTTAAAAAACATGTTGATGTCTAAGTACCGGTATTACAAAGTAAAGTAAAACCTGCTTTAAAGGTTGCCTCTATTAGCAAAAACCTGTCGTCTGGTAACCCTCCTCCTGTCCCGCTGAACAAATATCCATGCATTTTGAACCACAATTTAAAGGTCACCTCTCTAATAAGGTCATTTTTTCCCCCCAATGGTGGCCTACAGGTTTGACTGAAGCTTAGCTGGGAATAATTATATTGATATATCAAACTTTCTTTACAATTTTCAACTTTTTAAAGAGTCTTTAAATGTTACAACCTTTTTTGTATAGAGGTATTCAATTTCTTTTTTTTTTTCTCCAATTAGTAAATTTTAGCAGATTTATGACAACAAGGCTAATCTGTCTGAACCAGTGTTGCATGTTGCTGTTTTGAAGAACAGCCTTCAGTGCAAGAAAGATTGGGAAATCCTCAAATGTAAGATTTTCGTCAATTGTCATCGGTGCAACCAAACAAAATGCATTAATGTGGTAGAACCGTACATGTAGTTCCCATGATAATGAAGAATTTTCATAAATATATAAAGGGGCATAAATGTATTAATGTGGTACATGTAGTTCATAGGATAATGAGGAATATTCATAAATATATAAAGGGGCATTAGCTGTCAAATTCATGTTCACCGATTTGACTCACATGCTCATATTTGATTTATACATACTAAAACGTATATCAAATTATCAAAAGTCTAAAATAAACAATTTGCGATGCATGGACTCGATAATATGTATCAGCATTTCGTGTGTATTTTAGTCTAGATGCCATCTAATTAACAATCAATTTGCCCTCCCAATACTGCCAACAATCCATATATCCCGATATAAACATAAATATAGATATAAGTAGATAGTGAACAAGTGCAATTGGATTTTTCTAGGTCTGTTTGATTTCATATTATAGGTTAAAAATATATGTTAATCAATGGTTTTGCCAGTATAAGAATGAGTTTTTGTAGATCGAATCCGTCAACCAAATGTTTTACTTTTGTTTCACTTTCAATGTTAACATTTTCCTTTTAACAGCTGAACACTCCTAGTCTATGCGTAACCCACCTCTAGCTAAGGGGTTAAATTGAAGGTTACATAATACAGATTCAATTAGGTCTAATTATTCACTTGCAAGTGAATAATTCATCAGTGATGTTTCTTAGCTTTTTTGGACAAAATTGAACAAAAACGGCTGCTTAAAGCGAATTATTATTTCACTATTTCACTTTCATTAATGATTAAACAAAAAAAATCATATTTCAATTATTTTTTTATCTCGTAGCTAATGCCCCTTCAACAATGGTTTTATCTTTCAAGCACAGAAGCCAGATATAACTAATTAAAGCAAGATTGTATTGTATGTAAGGTATCTTATCGATCTGCAAAATATAGACTTATACCTCTGCCATGAGCATATAAGTGATTAAATTGGAAGTCCAAAAGACTACTAATATATTTGAATCTTGGATAATGTTGATGGAAACCTGCTCTCAATCTCTGTCAATCCAGGTGAAAAGTATAAAAAAAAAGTTAACACTGACAAAGTGTTCTAATTACAGAATTGAATTATGACTGAGCAATCGAAATCTATGGCTTTTATTTTATACTTACAAATTTAAGGAGTTGTATAAGAGGTGTTCCTATATCTGTGGCTTCTCTTTCAGTCCATTCATATTTATATTGAGTCTGGAAGTATTAATTAACACAATAAACTGGTAACATAGAGATAAGTCTTGCCTTTTTGTTATTTCGATAGTAAAATGCATATTGCTTCGCTGAGCGCAGCTGGATACGACCGCAGAGGTCCAACCCTGAACAGTTGGGGCAAAAATGGACACAATATTCACGCTTGATACAGGTCTGAATTTGGATTGTAATTAAATATTTGACACATAATAGGTTTCTGACACAGAATAACTGTAAACAAAGAACTTAGAATTGGTTACATGATTTGTTATGTCTTATCGTTTGTAGTCCAAATAATTATAAAATTGCCTTCAATACCATCATTGTCATGAAAATTGTTTGGACGAGTATTATAAAAATAATTTATATTCAATTTTTTGCTTTTGTGCAATACACTATCATGACTATGCTGTTGCGAATTGACCCCCTCCCCCAAAAAAAAAAATTAAAAAAATTTGAAGAAATTTTCTTTTTAATTTCTGAAATCTAAAATGAGAAAAAAATTGTTCACCTCCCCCCTCCCCTTTTTCCCAAAAAAAAAAATTCTTTCCCTTTAGATATGGTCATTATCTCAATTCAAATTTCCAATGGAGTTTGCAACCATAATTACCCATTTAAATACATCATAAAAGTCTTAAAATAGAAAATGAAATACATAATCATGTCTAAAATTAAAATATTCCTTAATCAGCATTTTTAATAGTAACTTCTAAAAATAAATTGACAGCTAATCACCTCAAGACAATACAACATTTCTTTATACATAATTTAAAAGCAGTGTAAGGGAGGTAATCCAAACTTAACATTGCATTTAAAAGTAATTGTCCATAAACAAGGAAACCCTTGTTTTTCCCCTTTTTTGCCCCTAATTCCTAAACGGTTTGAGCCATTACCCCCTAAAGCCAATCCTAACCATCCCTATGTGGTATGGAAACTTGTGGTATAATTTCAGAGAGATCCATACACCGTTCCACAAGTTATTGTCTGGAAACTAGAAACATGCTTATTTGGGCCCCTTTCTGGCCCCTAATTCCTAAACTGTTAGGATCAAAACCCCCAAAATCAATCCCAACCTTCCTTTTGTGGTTATAAACCTTGTGTTTAAATTTCATAGATTTCTATTCACTTATACTAAAGTTATTGTCCGGAAACCAAATGTCTTCAAACAACGCTGACGACGACAACGTGATACCAATATACGACCACAAAATTTTTTGCGGTCGTATAAAAACTGAAATTAAAATAACAATACTTTAACATGATAGTTACGCCAAATATTCAAAGTCAATGAACCATAACTGAAGGAACAGGGCCAAATAATCTCCATGGAAATGAGATGTGCCAATGTTAATACAACTGCATACCAGCACTAGTGGTTCCCCATGAATTGACCTAATTCCAAACTAATAGATGTAAATTAAGCAAAAGTTTCAAGTCAATAGATCATGACTGAGGGGGTGTGGCCAACTAATCTCCATGGAAATGAGATGTGCTAATGCTAATACAACCGCATTACCACTAGTGGTTCCCCATAACTGACCTAATCACAAACTAATACATTGTTGACGACGCCACCGCCAGTAACAGCATACCTATGTCTCTCTTTTAGACTCTGTCAAGGCGAGACAAAAATGGACACAATGAAATCCCTTGCTAGCTTTGCTGATTATGACTTTATTTAAATCAATGTTTTGAAGTCAACAAAGCATTAGACAGTCAGACATTAGTATTTATATTTCCTCCATTCAAAGAAATTAACAAAGAGTGAGGAGCCACACAAAATCACTGGAGATGAAATGCACTGATGTTTAAGCAATATCATAATACCGTATATCGGATTTTTTCGTGTGTTTAATTTTCGCTTTGTTCAGGGCACCTAAATAAACGTGAAAATTTTTTCCACACATAAATTTCCCTGCATATTCCTTGATTTATAGCTGTCTAAACGTTTCATATATTTTACTGGTAATTGTCGAGTTTACACGAAATTGATATGCAAACTCATTTCACCCTAAAAGTGAAATTATAATATCTTTAAAATCAGTCTTTTGTGTTTCGGCAGATCACAAAAGTGTGCATCATAAATTAAGATCTCTGTTTTCATAATAATTAAATTGACTAATCATACATGTCATCCCATTGTGACAACACAACACAGCAATCAGTGACATGTCCAAAAACATTACGGTAATTAGCGACGATCAATTGAGTGTTGTCATAACCCAAACATAATGTGTATTTTTGTTAGCGATTCTCTGTCAGTCAATCAAGTTTCTGTTGTTTGCATCTTTAACAATTGAATACGGTGATTTTTTCGCGTGTATTTTCCTATTTAGGGAAAATTATACACAGTGAAAAGTTAACCTGCCCATTTTTTCATCAATTCGCGAAAAAAAGCCAACGCAAAAAACCCCCCGATATACGGTAGATTCCAGTGGTTCCAGTTATACTTTCTTAATCTGATACAAAAATACAACACTTTTAAATATTCTTATTCTTGCATGACATGTATTTCATTGTGATGTAAGTTTTCAGACCTTCACTTTTGATGACAACTAGTACATATAAAACATAATGCTGTTTTTCAACAAAGTTGATTTATTTGGATTATTTCTTATATACTGATAATGGATTCATAAAATCATCTGATGCATTCAGTTGCAAAAGATTTATTTATGTTCAAAATGGAAGGTATTTTAACAGCAGTTACTTACAGTAAAAGAAGCATAAAACAAGTGTCCTAAGCAACAAATCACAACAACTCATTTTCATATAAATAATATAAAACAATTCTTGTCAACTCTGTAATGAGCCTGATATCAAAATTACCCTGTGAAGATTGAAGACAATTCCGTTTTGAGACTGCAGCTGACGTAAAAATGCCCTAGCCTCCATAGGTAAATCTATACGTCCTGGTTTATGGGTAGATTTGCTCACTTCTGTGTAACGTTCAATCCACTGTTGTGCTGCAGAAAAGTAGAAATCTATATGTTTTTTTTTAATTTAATAATTAGGATAATCTGTTTAGTATGGTTTTATGGTACTCAAATTAGAGAAAAAATATTCAAGTCATGTCTGATCAACTGTTTGAAGTAAATCTAGGAATGCTATACTTCTTTATTTCAAAGAAATAAAACTAAGTTATATTAAAAATACTTACGCCAAGGTGTCTGTATGATACACCATTTATTCATATAAGCATAATGTATAGTTTGCAACAAAGTCATGTTTTTGCCTACTCCTAAATGTCCATCTGTCAAAGTTAAGGAAAGCATAGTGTTTTCATTAATAGCTGAAAATTGGAGATTCACAAGCCCATATTTTTTGGTTGATGACAAAATTTCCATGCCATAGCAAATTGTTCCCCATGGCTATGGTAGGAATAAGAACTAGAGGCTCTAAAGAGCCTGTGTCGCTCACCTTGGTCTATGTGCATATTAAACAAAGGACACAGATGGATTCATGACAAAATTGTGTTTTGGTGATGGTGATGTGTTTGTAGATCTTACTTTACTGAACATTCTTGCTGCTTACAATTATCTCTATCTATAATGAACTTGGCCCAGTAGTTACAGTGGAAAATATTTTGTAAAAATTTACAAAATTTATGAAAATTGTAAAAAATTGACTATAAAGGGCAATAACTCCTTAAGGGGTCAATTGATAATTTTGGTCATGTTGACTTATTTGTAGATCTTACTTTGCTGTACATTATTGCTGTTTACAGTTTATCTCTATCTATAATAATATTCAAAATAATAACCAAAAGCTGCAAAATTTTCTTAAAATTACCAATTCAGGGGCAGCAACCCAACAATTGATGAGATAGATCAATGAGATAGATCTTGACCTGATAAACAATTTTACCCCATGTCAGATTTGCTCTAAATGCTTTGGTTTCAGAGATATAAGCCAAAATATACATTTTACCCCTATGTTCTATTTTTAGCCATGGCGGCTATCTTGGTTGGTTGGCCGGGTCACCGGACACATTTTTTAAACTAGATACCCCAATGATGATTGTGGCCAAGTTTAGTTTAATTTGGGAAAGTAATTTCAGAGGAGAAGATTTTTGTAAAAGTTAACGACGACGGATGACGACGACGACGGACGACGGACGCCAAGTGATGAGAAAAGCTCACTTGGCCCTTTGGGCCAGGTGAGCTAAAAAACTTTAAACTTTTCACTTTGAGACTTGTTTAAATAATTGTACATTTAACGCTGTGAATTTTCTGTTACAAAAAGGAATTCTTCTGAAACCAGTAAAAAATTACATATCAATATATATCAGGGACGCTAAAAGTAGATCTTCTAATTACTATTAATTCATAAATATTTTTATATGCATTTTCTGTTGTGAGGATGGACAAAAATTATTAATTAGTGCAACTTCAGTAAATACTGCAGGCATACAAATAATGCTATCAGAATTGAAAATCAAGTTTCCATTTTTGCCAAACCTATTCCTTCGCAATCTTTATAATAAAAAAAAATGCTTCGCTGAGCGCAGCCAGATACGACTGCAGAGGTCTAACCCTGAACAGTTGGGGCAAGTTTGGACACAATATTCAAGCTTGATACTGTCTGAATTTTGGTTGTGATCAAATTTTTGACATAATATAGGTTTCTGACACACAAAAAAAATGTGGTCAAAGATGTTAAAAATTTGAAATGGGACATTTAATTTACCTAGAATGGTCTGATATCCAAAATCTAACAACATGGTTAGATTCAGCATATAAAAAAACACCAAAAATACTGTGCTATTGCTCAATACTGTGCTATTGTGCAATACTGTGCTATTGTGTAATTACTGTGCCATTGAAGATTTCTTACTATTGCGCAATACTGTGCTATTGCGCAATACTGTGCAATTGAAGATTTCTTGCTATTGCGCAATACTGTGGAATTGAAGATTTCTTGCTATTGCCCAATACTGTGGTATTGAACTATACTGTGCTATTGCGCAATACTGTGCAATTGAAGATTTCTTGCTATTGCACAATACTGTGCAATCATTTGAAATTTCAAAAATTTTGAAGAAAAAAAATATGAACCCCCAAATAATTGGAAAAAAAATCCCCCCCAAACTTTTTGAACCCCCTTCCCCTTGGAGTAATTACCCCCAAATTAATCCCAGCCTTCCCTTTGTGGTATGGAACCTTGTAGTACAATTTTAGAGAGATCCATACACTTAAACACGAGTTACTGTCTGGAAACTAGAAAAATGCTTGTTTTTGGCCCGTTTTTGCCCCTAATTCCTGAACCTTTAGGGCAATTACCCCCAAACTCAATCCCAGCCTTCCCTTTGTGATATGGAACCTTGTGGTACAATTTTAGAGAGATCCATAAACTTAAACACGAGTTACTGTCTGGAAACTAGAAAAATGCTTGTTTTTGCCCCTAATTCCTGAACCTTTGGGGCAATTACCCCCAAACTCAATCCCAGCCTTCCCTTTGTGATATGGAACCTTGTGGTACAATTTCTGAGAGATCTATACACTAACACACAAGTTATTGTCCGGAAACTACAAAAATGCTTGTTTTTGGCCCCTTATTCCTATACTGTTAGTTCCATAACCCCCAATATCAATCCAAACCTTCCTTTTGTGGTATTGAACCTTCTGGTATAATTTCTTAGAAATCCATTCACTTAAACTAAAGTTATTGTCCGGAAACTAAATGTGTCTTCGGATAACGCCGACGACACCACAGCATTATACGACGCAAAAAATTTGTTGCGGTCGTATAAAAACATGACAAAAATGTCTGTATTTACAGTAGTTTATTCTGCTTCTGCAACCACACATTTATAGTTTGCTGATTTTTTTGTATAATAAATAAAAATATTTTACAGAATAATTATCATAACAAGGATACATAAAATGAATTTAGGCATGGGAAGATTTGGGTTAAAATTCTTCATTGCATGTATGACTTCTAATGCTGGCTTCCTGATCATCAGGCATGCTTCCTGAAAAGTCTTAACCTGAAAAATAGGAAGATAAATTTATGCATAAACTTTTTTTCAATGGCATTTTACTGTTTTGTTTTTAAATCTTGAATAAGATGGACATATAGTAACAAAAAATACCATATTCAATTATGCATGTCATTTTCAAGATAAACAAGAATGTGTCCATAGTACACGGATGCCCCACTCGCACTCTCATTTTCTATGTACGGTGGACCATGAAATTGGGGTCAAAATTCTAATTTGGCATTAAAATTAGAAAGATCATATCATAGGGAACATGTGTACTAAGTTTCTAGTTGATTGGACTTCAACTTCATCAAAAACTACCTTGACCAAAAACTTTAACCTGAAGGGGGACAGACAGACAAACGAACGGACGGACAAACGAATGGACTCACAGATCGAAAAACATAATACCCCTCTACTATCGTAGGTGGGGCATCAAAACATGCCAAAAATGAAAAACATAACTTCAATTATATGAAATTTAACATAAGTATTTACCTTTGAATACTTTATTTAAGAACTGAATACTTCTGATGTAATTTTACTTGGGTGTAAAGCACATTTTGTATGCAGCTTGGAAGCCCTTCATACTATCAAGAGTGCACGCACTGAAATGTCTCGCCTGCTTTACTAACCACTGATTTTATGTTGAATGTTTTTACTACAAGTGTCACATAAACTTGGCATTTTTTATAGATCCATGACAATGAAGTCAAGGTCAGATAAATCCTGTCAGACAGACATGTACACCTTACAATTATTCCATACAACGAATAAGTTTACCTATTACGTATGGTAACAGACCAAAAAACATAAACTTAACATTGACCATTGAACCATGAAAATAGGGTCAAGGTCAGATGATACCTGCCAGACAGATAAGTAAACCTTACAATTATTCCATATACCAAACATATCTGACCTATTGCTATTAGTTTTTGAAAAAGAGAACAAACAGAAAAACTTACCATTGACCAATGAACCATAAAAACAAGGCCAAGGTCAGATGATACCTGCCAGACAGACATGTACACCTTACAATCATTCCAGACACCAAATATAGTTGGCCTATTGCGTAAAGTACTTAAAAAACAGACCAAAATAGAAAAAGTTAACACTGACCTATGAACCATGAAAATTGGGTCAAGGTCAGATGATACCTGACAGACAATGGAAACCTTACATTTATTCCATATACCAAACATATCTGACCTATTGCAAGGAACCTATATACAAAATATGGTTATCCTATTAATCATAATAAGTGAGAAATTCACATGACAAAATAAATGGGGAATGTGTCCATGGGACACAGATGATGCCCCGCTTGCATATCATATAAAGTTATAAAGGGACATAACTGAAGAACAGTTAAAGTGACACTACCCAAATTTGTACTTGATCTGAGTTTTGTGGTAATAAGTATTGTGTATAAGATTCATAACATTTGGTTGAGGCAAACTAAAGTAAGAGAACAGAAATGAAAAATTCAGCAATTTTTCCATTTGTTAAGGGGCATAACTCCAGAACGGTTAAAGTGACACCACCAAAATTCAAACTTGATCTGTGTTATGTGGCAATAACATTGTGTATAAGTTTCATAACATTTGGTTGAGGCAAACTAAAGTTAGAGAACGGAAACCACCTTTCGGACCTACGTACGTACAGACGGACAAGGGAAAACGTAATGCCCCCTCCACTACGGTGGGGGCATAAAAAACTTTAAAAAATTTTCAAGCAGTCGTTGAACCATGAAAATGAGGTCAAGGACAATAGACATATGACAGACAGAAACTTTGTAACATAAGGTATCTGCATACAATGTATGAAGCATCCAGGTCTTCTACTTTCTGAAATATAAAGCTTGATACAAATAGTTTACATCGCCTCCGCCAGATAGTAATCCCTATGTCTTGCATACTGCGACTTTCATCACAGGCAAGACAAATATGAGTGCACATTCAATGCTTTTACAACCATATAAAGTTACAAAACGACACATTCATTACACAAAATTACATTTTTATGCTACAACCATGAAATTACCAGTTTAAATCAAGCCTTTCGTTTTTTTTTCTATGCATTGTTTAAAGCTGTCATGGATAGTGCATGCAGTTATAGATGTTGCATTTTATATGGATATAAAATTTAAATTCTGATTGCCTCAGCCAATCAAAATTACAGAATCTTACGAAAATTCTATGTAGGTAATTATTCAGAGATAACTCATGAAACCAGAACAGAAGAACAAGAAACAAGGGAACAATAAAATGTGAAATTAACCAAATTAAGTATCAAAAGTATCTTCAATATCATAATCCATCCATACGCATTTATGAAAAACATGACAGAATAATAATGTTACTGTTATAGTTACTCATGGATAAAAATTAAAACAAAGAAACTAAAGTGTCTTCTAACTCTTCTTAAGACATGAATATATTTTAAAGACACTATACAATGTAGTTTAATACATGTAGCTGGGCCTGCATTTGATCTAGATAGGCAGACATCGAGGTTTGTGAACACATAAAAGAAAAGTGTTGCTTACAAAAAATATTTATGTGTATGTGACGACACTGTGTTAGCTTTTATAAATATTGTAAACAAAACGTTTTAGTGGTATTTTTTATATTAAAAGTTTAAGAAACTTGTTACCCTGCTTGAAATCTACATTCCAACTCTCCATGGTTAGCAGGGAGAAGAAGGCAGATGGAAGGATTAAGCTGAAATCTTATCGATAAATTAATTCCAACTTATTATTCGCATGTGTTTACCTGTAAATTGGCACATTAATGGAAACATACCTGAACTTTGAACTTGTTGAAACTATCATCAGATGAAATCCTCCTAAAAATTGCCTTATCTATTGTGTACAATAGACCTTCATGTCTTATTTCATGGTCACCCTAGAAAATAAATTTATAAAAAAGTTAGATGGTCATCCCATGAAATAGTCCCAATGTTATGTTCAATTTAATAACTGTATATACAGTTCGCATGTTCTTTGACATTGGTAAGTAGAAATAAGGGACATTTGTAGGATTTGTCCCATACATGTATGTGTTTACCCCATACCTTTTCAAATTAACATTTTTCATTTCCTTAAAAGTGACAGAAAAAAAGACTTTTGACAGTATACTGCAAAAATTCTTTATCAAATCATTACTCACTCACCGGATTTGTCACGTCTGTTCTAAATATAATCTTAGGGTGTTCTTCTTTCTCTCTCTTTTGAAAAATATTTTGTATAACATTCTGTTGTGATGTTACATCAGAGATTAAATGTCTACAACTGCAGACAGGACCAGCAGTATTAATTACTGGAAGTAAAATACCTGAAAAAAAGTAATAGCGATACTTAACCACAAACTTTAATGCATAGCAAAGTAAACAAACCAATAAAGATAATGAGTTAAAGTATATAAATGTACATATAATAGTGATAAATATTGGGGTTTGTGCAGATTTTTTTATCTCTAAACCAAACAATGAAAATATTCAAAGGTGTTTTTGTTCAGACCACTAGTCAGGTTTTGTATATCTGCAGTTTTGGCTAGTTAAGCTCAATCAGGCTATAAAAATTATCTCCTTTTTTTCATGAAATTTCAGTTTCTCATTTATTGTCTAAAACTTTACATGCATTATAAAGAAACATGGTTCAATATTACTGTACAAAAATTTTTTACCATGACTTTGAGGCTATTTTTTCATAGTGAAAGAAAAGAATTATTGCAAAACTATATCCAGTAGTATTTCTTAATTGTGTCTGAAAAGTTTTACATTGCACTTCGAAATTGATCGAAATTGAAATTTCATTACAAATTTTCAAAGCGAAAAACAGTTCGTGCTGTAATCACTGAAAGATGTTTGTTTGTCTGGTCTTTGATAAAAAAAAATTCATATCAACTAAAATGCCAATATATCCTACTGTCAAAATTTACTCCTAGTGACAAATTTTAAAACTTAGAAAATTGGTATTTCATGTCTATGAATAATTTATCAATGCATGTGTAGTGGTAGACATTTCTATTGTTACTCCTCTGTAGGGTTCCCTATTGTTTTCATTATGTATTTTCCTTATTCCATTTAATAGTCAGTTCGGATCACTTATTCTTTTAATTGTACATTCTTCTGGCATTTCCTGTGTCCTGACCCCAGCCAAGTCTGACTGTTCAATAAATAAAGCCATCACCAATGTTCCAGGAATAGCCTGGTTATTACTTCACCTTCGACCCCAACTAGAGAACTGGACTTAGGACATTACAATTAATGTCAATATTAAACATATGGAGAACCATTTCGTTGACTGATTCTGCCCACAAAAAATCATTCTCATACAAGTAAAACAATGATATAAATATTTTTTTAATCTATGACATCAAATCAAACAGACCTAGAAAAAATCATCATCATATGATTGCACATGCTTTTCTGTCTATTTATATCTATGTTTATATCTGTCAAATAACCTAACACCGTTCAACAATGAGTACAACCCATACCATATAGTCGGCTTTAAAAGGCCCCAATATTAAAAATGTGAAGCAATTCAAATGAGAAAACTAACTGCCTAATTTATTACAAAACAATTTAGGAAAAACAAATATGATAGACATGAACCAACAACAACAACCAACAGTCAGCCTAGGGTAATACTTATACAAGTCATGTTTACTTACTTTAAGATGTAGTATTTTCAAAGTTTAGTTCATTTCCCCTGAATCTTCTCCAAAAAATTTACTTATGCAAGTATTTTTTTTTTACAACCCCTTAAATTCTCAAGTTTTGGGAGGTCAAAACAAATTTTTCTGGTTTGCTAATTATTTTTTAATTCAATCTTTTATCTCCAAAACTAAACAAAAAAATTTATTACGCACAGATGTTGAGTAACTGTGCAAGGCCTTCAAAAATCGCTCTCTGGAGGCTTGTAAATAAGCAGTATTTTGAAGATAACAACTATTAATGGCAGACAATTAAACACTCTATTAGAGCAATGTAGTAAAAAGAAATTCAAGAAAAGGAAGATATAATACTTTTTTACTTATATAATTAAGAATTGAATGTTTCTTTTTATAATTTTATTAGGGTGTAAAAGCATTGACCAATGCACATTTTGTAGAGGCACGGATGTGCTTCATAACAAAAATTTGCACACCATCAACACTTTTACAACCCTATAAAATAATAAAAAGAAGCAGTCAATTCTTATAATTATATTTTTATGCTACAACCATGAAATTAAAAGTTGTATCAACATTTCATTTGTTTCTCAAAGCATTACATTTTTGTGTTTCAACATTGTCACGGATAGCACATACAGTCATAGCTGTTGTATTTCATACGTAAGAAATTATTATTGGAGAGCTTGTGATTGATGTCAGCCAATCAAAATTACAGATTCTAAAGAAACATACAAGTAATGTAATTATGTAAAAATAACCTGAATGTTTAAGGGATATAACTCTACCTCCAAAATAATTTACCTGTACGAATAAATAAAAAACACTTGTATAAATATTACCACTGACTGACTGAACTACAGGCTCCTGACTTATGGCAGGCACATAAAAAAATGTGGAAGGGTTAAACATGTTTGTAAATGCTCAACCCTCACCTAACCTGGGACAGTGGTATAACAGCACAACATAGGAGTTTAAGTTTGTTATAAATGAATCAATTATGAGGGTTTGTGTCACACAAGTGAAAATGAATTTGCCAGCTTATGCATATTTAATCAAATATCCTTGTAATCATGGTAAATATGTTGTACAGTATGACATAGAGATACATAAGATCACTAAATTTATTGATATTCACTCCTGAATCGTCTATCTTGATCAAGTGATCTCCTTTCAGGTGTGTCGATCTACCTGTACAAGTGATTAGCAATCTTTAGGCAGATATCCCTCAGGACTTTAAAACTGTAATCAGGAGGACCCTTTGGACTATAATACAATAAGCCTAAGGGGTATGCAATTACATGCAATTGATTATAATTGCTAACAAAAATGGCGGCGGCTAGCAAACGAAAACAAATTTTGACAATGGCGGAAGATAATTTAATAAGGGCGAGGATCATTTAACGATGGCAGAAGATATTTTAACTATGGTGCGCCATCATAAAAACAGTTCATGGAGATCCTTGACGAAGTCACCAATCACAGTAGAAAAATCAATAAAAAAAAATATATATATACTAATGAACTCAAAATCGTTAACTTTTTTTTCCTAACTTTTTTAGTTTCCTGCATTTGCGCAGAAATCTATTTCTTTCTTCTGGTCTCGTTTGTCATGAGAAGTTGAGTTAAATATAGGAAGGAGCATCATATTGCTTCCCACAAATTTGTTGTTTTTGATTACCGAAAAAATACTGTCAGTTAAACAATAAAAATAAATTCCTTACATTTTAAAATGAGTCTGGAGCTTTTTCAACATACGATTTTAAACCAAACAAAATGTGTTCTCTTCAGAAACTCATCTGATCAATCAGTCAGATTTCAGTATCTGATAAGAATGACAAGCCGACTTGGTATTTTCATCGTTTTAAAGATATAAATTATGACAATTTTATTTTAATAATTTTTGATATGAAAAAAAAAGTTACCTGTTGATAGCGTTTCTTTGTATACATTAAAAATGACGTCACAACTAAAATCACTAACAACAGGACCAACATTGGAAACGTTTCTATATTTCCATTTCTTTTTCAATAGATTCTGAATTTAAAATATGCTCCAATCCAAAAAAAAATTTATAAGGGCTTTGTAACCTTTCATAGGTAACACCTGCCCCATATTAATTAATCATCTAATCACAAAAAAAAAATCATTTAAAAAAATTCACGAATTTTTATTCATGAAAATATGAATTATACAAACATATCTAAAAAACATCTAATAATTCAACCCGGTATTTGAATGAAAATAGGGTGCTAACAGACCCAGGGGCGAACGTGTATGGTGTGAAATTTATGGGTTTTGGTAGCGAACGGACCCGATATTGCGATGAGCCAAGTGATTCTAACTAACACACAATTACTCAGTCTTAGATGTGTCCGCTTAAAACAATACTCTTTTCTGTAGATGTAAAATAGGTGACTCTTGAAGTTCCAATCTATTTTAGAGCAAATTTTTAAGGTCATTTGTTGTCATTTATTTTTATTTTCATGCTTTCTTTCATCACTTCAATGTTTTCATCTGGAAGCTGACATTTATATACATGCATTGATAATAACAATATATACCTCTGAAAGATAATCTAGGTATATTTAATAAAATTTTAGAGGTCATGTTCCCAGTAAATTTGAATCATGCTTTTTTAGCAGTTCAATGTTGTTTTCATCTGGAGGCTGACATTTTTACATGGAACTCTGGGAAGAGAAATTTTATGCAAATATTGCAGTCTTTTTGAAACTGCGTATCAACTTAAACATGAATTTATTTCAGTTCAACGAAGAAAGATTAAAAGTAATAAAAAAATTTAATTCTGATTTCCTTGTAAGAAATTTGCATATTCATTACTGCACCAAAACAACCTGTGAGAATCTAAAGGAAATAGTTGTCGATGCCGAGTTACCTTGACCTACTGAGGAAATCTGAAGACCAATTAAAGGATTATTTACTATAATTTCAATGTAGGTTTGTGCGATTTGAATTACTTACGAATTTTAAATGAACAAAATCTTTAAAATATTGCATATTGAACATGTAACAAAACACAAATACATTGATTTCGACACACCTCACGGCGTTTGACCGCAGACGCCATTTTGTCTATAAAATACTATGGCATACAGGCTAGCATCAAATTGATTGTATTATTTACTAATTATTTTTCCGTATGTAGATTGCATTTTATCCACTCTGCAGGTAAGAAATATACATGAACATCCGAAGAAATTAGTTATCATGTCAGATCGTTAAGTTTCAAGCCCTTTAAGAAATAAAGGAAGCTTGTTTTGGCGGGTAGGACCATTTGTTTTCAAAAGTTTTCGTCTGAACATTTGATTAGGTGTTAATAGTAATCAACAGGTAATTAACACCTTTCAATAACTAGATTAACGCTTTACTACAGATACTTTCTAATCGACTATGAATGTTGTCAATGATTAGATTGATTTTGTAACCGAGATGTACACAAATTATAAATTATGAATAAGGTAAATAATAATAAATACCAGATTTTCAGCATGATTTTAAACCATCTCAATTGTAAATAGCAAATTTTTAACATTTTGTATGGTGGAAACTAAACATAAAAATAGCTGAATTTTTTTTTATTACACACGCTTCATGGATATGAACATTATGGTATCAGGTCCTTTCGTGTTTGGCCACACAGTCCATACAACTAATCGCTATTTGTCCGCCTTTATGTCATTACAAAGCAGGGTTCTCACTTAGGCTAGTCAATTAGTCCTGGACTCCTGAAAATCTGTCTGGACTAATCATTTTAAAAACTGGTGAGTCCAAAGCTGCATCAAGATTGTAAAAATTATACATTTTATCATTTTATAGCAAAGTTGGAAAGATTAAAATTTGATGTCATTTCCTTCCTGTATTGTGCATGGAAAGTGAAATAATAAATAATAATGCAATAAATTATACATTTATCACTGTTGTACTCCTCATGGCCAAAAATAACAGGTTACTGGACTCGCCTATAATTTATTTTTAGTGAGAACCCTGCTCAAAGGTTAGACTTCAATGAAACTAAACTAACAAAGAAAGAAAGACCATATGGTCATCTTAAGATTTTTATTTATATAGACAAGTCAAAGTTGAGAGAAGTTGTGATTAAAAGAAATCAATGATCTGCCATAAACACCAAATTCTTTTAAGAACAAAAAATATCTAAAATATACTGTGAAAGTACTTTTATTTGTGGGTTACCAATTTTCGTGGTTTTTCGTGGATGGCGAAATATAACAACTGTTGTCCAAATGTAGGTTTGACCACATGGAATAAGCTACTATTTAAAAAGATAATTTTGCTTTTTCCAATGTTTCTGTGTGGCAATATCTTGAGTTCTTTTGTTTTGCCCATTAAATAAACCCATCTGCCCATTGCAAACATGTCTGCTTATTCTTTAAATAAAGAGGGGTGTAGATTAGACTTACATTGGCATAGCAGCTCAACAACACAAATATCTTGACGTTACAACTTGCACATATTTATATAGAACTGTTTTTTATTTTCCTTTCAGAATTTGGAGTTACGTTCATGTTTGTGAATATTGGCCCTATGACTGTGAGGACAGCCTACTTTGTGGGCTGTTGGAGAGATGAATAGGGTGGTGCAGGAGGGTGGTGGTGCATCAAAGACTAAAGATCTCACCAGTAGTGAAGGATCTAGTTCTGATAGTGATTCATCATCACAGTCAGATACAGAGTTCTCAATATCAAAGTCGGATAACTCACAGTTCAAGTTCAAAATATCTGCAAGGAGGAGGAGTTCAGCATCATCTTTCAAACTGTCTGACGAGGAAGATTACACTTTGCCCGAGGGGGCAGCCAGTAGTGGTGTGAGTAATATATACTTTTTGTTATCAGAAAAGTAAAACCTTGGATATTGAATGAGAATGAAATTAATTTTTTTTTCACCAATTGAAATTCTTTTGTATGATTGATAGATTGTTGATTGCTCAACGTGGGGCTAGTAATGATATTAATTTTATTTTTTGAAGAAATACCCAGACACAAGAATCTTATTCTTAACAAATAAATGTTAGTAACTATAGTGTTGTCTCATGGTAGCACATTTACTTCAAGTGCAGGAGGTCAATGGTTCAACACATGGTCAAGTCAAACCAAAGATTTTAAAAGAAGCATTTATTGCTTCTCTGCTAAACATACTGCATTTAGGAAAAGTAAGGAATGGAATACTTAGACAGAATAATGTGTTGACAAGCAGTAGAGTGATATGTCCTCCTGTGGTGTGTAACCTTGTGAGCTAGCACATTTAAAATCCTATTCGTAGACTATTAATTAGTTTGTCTTGTACAGGTCATATGGGAGCCGACTTCATAAAAAAAAGTTATACAGTAAGGACTTAAGATGATTAATATACATGTACATATAGGATGAAACCCAATCTTATTAAAATAAGTTCACATCTATTTTAATAAGATTGGATGAAACCCAAAATATTGGGAATATAATTACATGATAAAAAAGATTGAAGTGCAGTTCAGTTTGAATGTCAAATATTTCTTATGGTCATCCTTCGTTCAAAAAACATTGAGAGCTGCAAGTTATTTTTATTTTTTTTTATGGTTTATGGTTTTACGTTTATACTGTTAAATGTGTTATGATCTGTATATATGCCTGATAATACACAGTACATCAAACGGAGGCTTTCTACATGTTATTCAAATTATTTTATGTTTTAATTTCAGGGATCTGCAAGGACATCATACTTCAAGTATGATAGGAAGAAGAAAGCCGAAGATGGGGTACCAGATTCTGGAATGTTCAATCAGATGGGTTTGCCAAACACCTCGACTGAAGCAAGCCATACAGCAGATGTTAATAAGTCCTTGAGTAGTTATACAGGAGAAACAAGTAAACCTGAAACTATTAAATCTACTTCGCATGATTATCAGAAAGTCAGACATGAAGCAGTTTCTGTTGAAAATTTACCTTCTAAAGTAGTGAACAATGCAGAAACTGATCTCACAAAGATTAGAGAAAAAACAAAATGTTTAGTCTTTGATAGATCCTCTTCAGTTGATAACAATTTAAAGCAGTCTGATTCAGTGAGTAAGGAAAAAAGTATTATGAAAATTCACAGTAAATATGGTCCTACAACAGTAAATAGTAGTGCAGAACATATTATATCTGGCTCACATGGCAATATATTTGAAAAAATATCTGCCCTCTCAACATCAGCATCAAATGGTCCACAGAAGGAATCAGTCATGCAAGTTAAAAAAAGAGGACCTGGTCGACCACCAAAATCAGGAAACAAGTCAAAATCCAATGTACCTCTGGTTTCAAAGAGGGGTTTTGGTAGACCAAGAAAAAGCACAGTTCATGCAGATGAACATTTGGCAAGTCAAACAGTTCATGATCATCTGTTCAATATTGACAGTATTCAATCAAGTGTATCACCAGACAGTGGTATCCAATCTGTTGGTGGGTCACCTTTTGGTGTTGAAGCTATAGAGAGTAGGGTTAGTTTAACATCACATCAAAACAATAAAGTTTATCTCAGTAGTGTGCCATACAGCAGTAGATTGGGTATAGATGTGTCGGCCATACCTACAACAACATCAAGCATATCACCCGCCTATTCTTGTTCATCCTCTGGTTCTAATAATGTCAGGACAGAAAGTGAAAAATCATTAGAACTGTTCTCTGGTGCTAATTATTCATCCTCATCTCCTGCGTCGAGTAGTTCTCCATCTCCTGGAAAAAAGAAAGGGAGGGTTAGACCCCCTAAGCAAGCTGAATTTTTAAGGTTGCATAAAAGCAGTACGTTGCTTAATCAGGGAAAGGTGCCAACACAGATTGAAATACCAAAGTCATCAGAAGGGGAATTTAATTTACCAGTGGAAATGCCTGAACTTTCACCAGAAATGTTGACTTTAATGGGCAGGTCTCCAACAGCTAAATTATTAGGAAAAGACCTTGTAAAGCCACAAGTGTTTAAAAATTTCATTGCTAAACAGATATCCAGTAAAGCAAAGGCGTTTTTTGGCAGTGTGAAAAAGAGAGGACCAGGCAGACCCAAAGGCTCTAAAAATATAAAGAACAGATCTACAATGTTTAACAAATTAGATGGCATAAAGAAAAAGCGAGGGCCTGGTCGACCACCAAAAAGTTCATGTTTTAAAATGAAAAGAGGACCAGGACGTCCAAAGGGATCACCAAACAAAAAGACTTTGATTAAACTGCATGAACTAAAAAAGTATAAAAAGTCTTTTTACCCAATGGATGTATACGATTTTAGTACTGCACCAGATTTTGGTACTATACCAGATTTGCCGGATGATGAGGAATATACTTACCACTGTGCTGGAGATTTTCATACACGAATAAAACATATGAAAGCAAAAACCAGTTTCATGAAAAAGGCCAAGTCCAAATATGGAAGTTTTTTCCATAAGGAAAAAATAAAGAAAAAACGTAAACCAGGTAGACCTCCAGGCAGGCCAAGAAAGATTAAACCAGTTGTTGAGGAAAAGACAAAAGAGTCTCACAGTTTGAACAATTATGAAAAATTGTGTGATGCAGCGGATTTGGATTATATTATGCAAAGTGTCAATGATGTAACTTCAAATTTTCCCAACTCAAATTTAGCAGATCTTAATGAATTCAATTTGGAAGATGATTTAGAAACAATAGTTCCCGCTATTTCTTCTGAACCTCCTTTACATGAGGAAAGGGCTTTGCCTAAAATAAGAAAACCAAAACTCCATGTTATGATGAGGAAAGATAAACATAGAAAAAGGAAGAAGAAAAAAAATTATAGCACTTTACCACAAAAAAGTGGCATTTTTCAATGCAATAGGGTATATTTTCCTTCGAAGTTTAAACTGGCAAGTCCTAAATCTTCCTTAGGTCTTGTAGATAAATCTAGTAATCTTCGAACATCTAGAAGTTCACTAGAATCAAATGGCAGCACCAGTAGTGTTCAGAGTTCAACATTTGTTCCTCGGAAAGATATACTACGAAAAATGCAACTTAAAAGACGTAACAAGTTATTGCATTTCAAATCAAAGCACAAAAATATTGTTGACCCTGTGTTCATTTCTGACTTGGAATATGTTGTTGATAACTTTCATTTGCTTGCCATATCAAACCCAGAGAAAAATTTTATTCGTGTCAAACCAGGTGAAGTTCCTCTTCCCAGCATTTTTAAAATACCAATCATTAGTGTAAGTAAGAAGAAAGAATTAAAATCAAACATGGTGTTTGAAATTGAGAAAATAAAAAAATCGAAAACCATTCATAGAGACTTTAGTTATATTGAAAAGTGGATAAGAAATGAAAAGTTGAAAGGAATACGTAAGAAAAGCTTCTCAGAGGAACAATCTCCAACAAGCTCAGACGATTCTGTAATTTGTAAACAGCAGTGTTTGCCACCAAAGAAACGTCACAAACTGTTTAACTCTGATGACCCATGTTATAGTGATGCCAGCTATGAGCAAGAGGATGGCTTTAGATCTCAAGAAAGGAAAAAGCCTGGAAGACCAAGGAAAAATCCAGTTCCGTTAGTCTCATTCAGACAAGGTGAATATGATTAAATGTTTTAATATGAAAAAGATAAAAAAGGATTACAATTAGATGTAAAACAAATTGTCTTCCTTTTGAAATCAGGCCAAAAAAATGTATGTGTGGATTATTGTTGTCTTGTCTGCGATGAAAGTCGTAGATTGTGGGATATAGGGATTACTATTCGGCAACAGTGTAAACTATTTGTTTAAAACTTTATATTTCAGAATGTTGAAGACTGGATGCTTCAGATGCTTTGTGTTATGAAATTTCCATCTGTCAAATGTCCATTGTTGTTTACTTCATTTTCATGGTTCAGCTATACTGCTTGAAAACAAAATTATAGTTTTGTCATGTGAAATACTCAATTGTTATTAGTAATTGGATAACTACATTTCGTATATGGGTCCCTTGTAAGGTTTACATGTTGATCAGACAGGGCTCACCTGACCTCAATCTAATTTCATGGACCAGTAAATTACATTTATCATTGACAATGTTAAGTTTATGTGAAACATGTAAGTTGTAGTTAAATAAACCTTCACATTACACACATACAACATAAATTCTATCATGATATGTAAAGCAGGCAAGAAATTTCAGCGTGTGTAATCAGAAATCCTGAAACTATTGTGTTCACCGAGTCAGATACATGTATTATTTTACATAACGCTTTACTGGAAAGAAAAGTGTCACTGTGTGATATACATTTACTTCCTGAAGACAGTATCATAACAACAAATACATACAAAATAACTACTTTTTATACGACCGCAAAATTTTTTTGCGGTCGTATATTGGTATGACGTTGGCGTCGTCGTCGTCGTCCGAAGACACATTGGTTTTCGCACTGTAACTTCCAGGCATAACTTGTGTGTTAGTGTATGGATCTCTCTGACATTGTATCACAAGGTTCCATATCACAAAGGGAATGCTGGGATTTATTTTGGGGGTAATTGCCTCAAAATTTTAGGAATTGGGGGCCAAAAAAGGGGCAAAAAACAAGCATTTTTCTAGTTTCATGACAATTACTTGTGTGTAAGTGTATGGATCTTTCTGAAATTGTACTACAAGGTTCCATATCTAAAAGGGAAATCTGGAATTGAGTTTTGGGGGTAATTGCCCAAAACGTTTAGGAATAAGGGGCCAAAAAGGGGCAATTAATAAGCATTATTCTAGTTTCGACACAATAACTTGTGTTCAAGTGTATGGATCTCTCTGAAATTGTTCTGCAAGGTACCATACCACAAAGGGAAGGCTGGGATTGATTTTTGGGGTAATTGCCTCAAAATTTTAGGAATTAGGGGCCAAAAAGAGGTAAAAAACAAGCATTTTTCTAGTTTCAGGACAATAACTTGTGTGTAAGTGTATGGATCTATCTGAAATTGTACTACAAGGTTCCATATCACAAAGGGAAAGCTTGAATTGAGTTTGGGGGTAATTGCCCAAAATGTTTAGGAATAAGGGGCCAAAAATAAGCATTTTTCTAGTTTCCAGACAATAACTTGTGTTCAAGTGTATGGATCTCTCTGAAATTGTACTGCAAGGTACCATACCACAAAGGGAAGGCTGGGATTGATTTTGGGGGTAATTGCCTCAAAATTTTAGGAATTAGGGGCCAAAAAGGGGCAATTACAAGCATTTTTCTAGTTTCAGGACAATAACTTGTGTGTAAGAGTATAGATCTTTATGAAATTGTACTACAAGGTTCCATATCACAAAGGGAAAGCTTGAATTGAGTTTGGAGGTAATTGCCCTAAACGTTTAGGAATTTGGGGCCAAAAAGGGGCTTAAAAACTATCATTTTTCTAGTTTCCAGACAATAACTTGTGTTCAAGTGTATGGATCTCTCTGAAATTGTACTGCAAGGTACTATACCACAAAGGGAAGGCTGGGATTGAGTTTGGGGGTGATGAATCATAAGGGGGTTCAAAAAATTTGGGGGAGGGATTTTTTTCTCATTTTTTTCTTTAAAATTTTCAATTTTAAATTGGTTATTTCTGATTTATATATAAAAGCAAATAATAATGATATGGTTTGCATAGGTAAATTAAAATTTTTTAAGTTCTTGAGACCGCATTCATTCTGTGTCAGAAACCTATGCTGTGTCAAATATTTAATCACAATCCAAATTCAGTGCTGTATCAAGCTTGAATGTTGTGTCCATTCTTGCCCCAACTGTTCAGGTTTCGACCTCTGCGGTAGTATCAAGCTGCGCCCAGAGGAGCATTTTATTAGGTTTTCAATTCATGAAAAAGACAATTTCACTTTTTAATAGTGTAGTTTAAAAAAAATTGTAGGTACATGTATTTAATAGGTTTATTTACATTTTACACTTTTGCAAGCATTTTTGATATTATGCATGATATTGGTTGTTTGTTATAAGTCACAATCCATTATATCAAGATTGCAACTTTGGAAAAAAAAATGTGGACAAAAAGAGAAATGCAAAAGTACAGGTATTGTTTTTCTACAAATTATCATACCACAAACATTGGGAACTTAAAATTTAGATGATAAATACTTTAAAGTGAGTCTTCCTCATTCATTTTTACAGAGAAGAATAAAGGAAAGCAAATAGCAATTGTGACTCCTCATGTTTCAACTGACTTTGAAAAGAGCAAAAAGTTTACTAAGGTATTGGAAGAGGTGAAAGCTACAATAGTAGAACAGTCAGTCCTTGAGAACAAAGCAGTGTTAGAAGTAAGTACTATTTTATCTTTGCCAAAAGATTTAGAAGAGGAGAACATTATTGTTGCAACAACTCAAACAAAATGTTCAGAATGTGGACAACCAGGGCCAGTACAACCAAAAAGAAGGGGTAGAAAACCAAAACAATTGTCAGCAGAATCTAGTCTCAATACTTCTTCGGCCATTGCTACAAAAATCAAACGTAAACTCTTCAAAAAGCGTGGGGTAAGGAAAAGAAAAGTTGGAAGACCAAGAACTAAACATCTGACACAAGTGCTTAATATTAAACCTATCTTGTCAGACGATATTGTCAATGATGTTGAACCATGTGTTAATTCTGAGATTGTGGAAAATGAATCTGAGTGCAATAAGACAACATATAATAAAACCATTGAATCTGTGATAAGAACTGTGTGTTCTGAGTCTGAACCCCTGCCAGCATTGACAGAACTAGATAATGAAATGCTCGGACTGGATAGTGGAGATGATGAACCAGTCAGAAAAAGACGAAAAAGTGCTAAAACCAGGTAAGAAGTCTTTCATCTCTTAAGATTATTGCAAAAAGTGATCCAAATATGTCGATTATGGCTAAAAAAAAAAAGAACTTGGTTGGTTTGTTTAAAATTTGATACATTGTACCTTACTAAATTAGTTCCAATGGATTCCCACCCAAGATGTGGGTTCTGAGTGCTATCCATTTGGGCTATGTGTTTTGAAACAAGATGTGTCAATTGCTGCAACAAATATTTAGTAGATCAGCATTTAGGGCTGTATCATCAAAACATAAATGGTACACATTGTAAGGCACTTTCAAAAGGGGGTAACTCACCTAAAGAGGCAATTTTAGAATTTCACTTTCATTATCACTGTACAGAAAAAGTATTTGACACCCACCCATACATGTAGTTGAGATTTCATAGTACCTTCCCTGAGTCCTATGTGTAAAATATATCTGAAGCTTATTAAACTACATGTATCTTCAATGTATCCAAGCTATAGATTATGTGCTTGTTCAAGTTATGTAGTATACATGTATGTAACTAGGATTAATTATGATCTGCAGATGTACAGTGCATGTAGTCTAATATAATAATCTGAATATAAGACCAATTTTATTGTGAATGGATCACAGTTTGTTGTATTTAGAAAACATGAAAAGTTAGGATTTAGGAAAATGTTCTTACTGACATGGTACTCAGTTAAAGCAGGTATGTGAATGGACTAGAGTCAGCATAGTCAGATAGTTGGCAATTCATTGATGATACATGTATTTGTAATACATTTCTAAGATACTAATTATATATAATTAGGTAAAAGTTGTTTAGTCTTTACTTTTGTTCAGTTGTCATGGTTATTGGAAATTGTATAAAATTAGTAATGTAGTTAGAAAATTTTAGTGAAATAAATAACATTAGTTAATATAAAAAAGAACTAGATTTTGTAACAGTTGGAATACTTGAGTCAGAGTATAAATATAAAATTTGATATAATTGGAACATTTGAGTCAGACTGTCAATGACTGTCATTGGTTAAATATAAAACTGATTTGATTTGCAGTAGAGTCTGGAAATGTATGGCCTAATGAAATTTCCTCTTTATTATTCATCATTGATGACTAAATCTTGTTATTCATAAATTCAATCATAATTTGTGGCTTAAATTGTTTCCATAGACTAATTTATTGCTTTTTGTCAGCCAAGAAAGGGGAAAAAAACTTGGTGAATAATTCCGAATTGATCCAACTATTAACTGCTGCCCAAGCAAACACATTGATTAAGTTGATGTTTCATTTCCCATCACAAATACGACTAAATTTACTTCTGCTTTGGATTGATTTTCTATAGAGAAAAAAGTATAAACTTATTATTGATTAATGAGAGAAAAGCTTACACATTTTGTGCTATTAAGTTGATTGTTAAATTGGAAGAGCATTTAAATGATTTATAGATGTGTTTCCTCCTATGCTTTTGTTAAGCAATGATCACAGAATAATAAATTGATTATCTAGTAAAAATAGAATCGTAGTATAGGGCTGCTGTGGACTTAATTTTTCTCTTTCTGAATGCACTTTTACTTATTAAATGACAATCCTTTACACTTGATTAGTAATTTGAACATCTGAAGTAAAAATTGCAAATCTGCATACACAGTATAATGAGTATTTCATTATGAAGAAAGAAACATTTTGAAATGATTTCTTAATTTTGCCTACAATGAATTTACAAACTTTAGACTTAAAATTTTAACTTTTAGCTTACACATATAGGGTTTAATAACCAATAAAGGCCTTTTTTGTATAGTCTAATATTTCACTGAACTTTTTATTTCTATTTATGTATTAAAATTGAGATGAAATGAAACAAAAACAAATTTCCTCAGGCTTAGATGGCCACTGACAGTTATGTCTGTTCAATGGAGGTCTTTTTATGCCCCTGCCATAGGCAACGGGGCATTCAGTGTTACCCGTGACCATCCTTCCATTCTTCTTTCCGTCCGTCCGTACTTCCATCTGTCTTATTTTCGTTTCCACACTCTTAACTTTTGTTTGTCTCATGCAAATTTAATGAAATTCATACACAATACTAAGAAGCACAACACGCAGACAGAGTTCGAATTTGGGTTGTGCGATTTACCGTTTTAGAGTTATGCCCTATTTATACGCCCGTTTACGGGACGTATTATGGTATACTGTTGTCTGTCCGTCCGTCGTCAACATGTCAGACAATAACTCAAAAACGCTTGAACCAATTCGCATGAAACTTTGATGAATTGTTTATATTTAATGACGTGAGCTCCCTTTCGCTTTTTATAAATTTTAAGTTTCCAAGTTTTGGGGTTTTTTTTTCATTAAAAAAGGGGGATTTTCCAGTTTTAGGACAATAACTCAAAAACACTTTCACCAATTTGCAAGAAACTTTTGTGAATTGTTAATATCTATTGCCATGAGCTCCCTTTCAGTTTTTATAAATTTTAGATCTTATGTTTCCGAGTTATGGGGTTTTATTCATTAAAGAAAGGGGGGTTTTCCAGTTTTCGGAAAATAACTCAAAAATGCTTTCAGCAGTTTTCATGAAACTTTAGTGAATTGTTTATATCTATTGACTTAAGCTCCTTTTCAATTTTTATAAATTTAAGATTTTACGTTTCGGAGTTATGTGATTGTATTCATAAAAAAGGGGTATTTTTCAGTTTTCGGTCAATGCTTTGAGCAGTTATCATGAAACTTTGGTGACTGGTTTAAAACTATTAAGATAATCTCCCTTTAGTTTTTCATGAATTTCTGATATGACATTGAGAAGTTATTTAACTTTATTCTTTGAAAAGGCGATGGGCGTATCATGCGCTCATGGCGCAGCTGTTTATTAACTTTGAAAATTGCAAAATTTGTCTGTCTTGTCTGTCTGTCCCGTATCAGGTTAAAGTTTTGGTTTAGAGAAGCTTAGTACACATGAACTGTTTAACATGTATGCCCTAATAATAGCTCAATAATGCCAAAGTAGGGTTTTGACCAGATTTCACAGTTCAAGGAACATATGATAGGTTAAAGCTATGGTTAAAGAAGCACAGATTTTGGTGAATTATCAAATTGTTCTTGTATTTGCCAAATAAAGGAAGCATGTTAGAACCAACTAGATAGATACTAGATAGAATTTATCCACATGTATAGGAAGAAAATCCCTAATAATTATATATGTACATGTTATTTTGCACAAATAGATATACATATTATATTAATATGTCAAAACTAAGCAAAATTAGTCATTTTTGAAATCGAAATTAAACTTATGCCATTTGTCAAAGCCTGATTAAAAATAAGACTGGAGCAAGAGAGAACTTTGTTAAACACATGTGAACATTGTAGTTATCTAATTTACAGTGTAATAATTAGTGCTGATGTAGTGAAAGAAGACAGTCAGTTCAAAAAGACAGATGGGCTTCCAAAGAAGAAAAATTACCAAAAAGCTGGACTGTATTCAAATGCATATAAAGAGGAGGAGGAGTAAGTACCATTAGCCATATATGATAAGTTTTAGCATGAGTTGTCTTGTTTCATCTAAGGTAGCACACTTCTCCAAAGTTGACAATTTTTGTGGCAGACATATTTTCTGGTGACTTTAAACTTTACCTGTCAGATCCTTTGGTCATGTGAATTTCATGAAGACTGAGCTAGCTGAAGGAAGCATCTCGACTTTAAGAGACTTGTTCTGTTTTCTAAAAAAAAATTATAACAATAACTTTAAGGCAACCAGTAGATTACTAGGTTAAACCCTGTCAGCATTAATTATACAGCAGGTGTTCTATTTTGTTAGTGTTTTGTAAGCTGAAAGACTCAGACTTTCCTGTTGCAATATATATTAGTTGAACATTTAAATTAACATATATTAATTGAATATTTAAATTACAGTAACATATATATTAGTTGAACATTTAAATTGGCTTCAAAAAAGTTGAGGAAGAACTATTGGTGTGCTAACCCTTAGCGTCAATGTACGCATCCCTTCCACAGCCAGTTATCTTATCATTTTGAACTTTGTATTCAGGGTCCGACACTTACGGTTGTCCGATTGCCCGGGGCAAGTTAATGTTGTATTCGGACAAGTAAAAACATCATCTTCGTTGTCCGATTGGGCAAGTGAAAAAAAAGTGTTATATGATTAAAATTTCACAAAATCAATAATGTCTGTTGTTTTGTCCAAAGATTACTCAGTGATTACACCGCACGGTCGAGTAAAGTGGTCTTAACCCCCCTTCAATGCGTATATTTCGTCATTTGTTCGCACTGAATTCCCTATTTTACCAAAAATAGATCACGTTTAAAAATATTAGCCAATCAGGCGGCCGCGGCGTTGCTTCATCATTATCGTTATCAATCGGGACACCACTCTGGCGTTTCCGACGCACGTGTTATTCCCACCGACCAATGGAAAGCGGAGGTCTATTTTCGTTTTTCTAACTTTAGAATTTGACATCGGATGTGTATTTCCCTAAGATGAAAAACGTAAAAGCTTGAAAGAGAAAATGAAATTAAACTTTAACAAATTTCTCAGTTTATCAAGAAGGGTTTTTTGAAATGGCATTTCTTAGATAAATTATTATGAAATGAGTATCTCTATGTAAATGATCCAATTCCCGTATATTCGTCGATCTTTTCCTTCCCTCCTCGGCTCATAAATGCATGCCTCATAGTATCTCAGTGGTCAAGTCTAGTTGCTGCCATCATGGCACAACAATCAACCCTGGCAAGTTTTATCAGTGGAATTCCTCAAAAAAAGAAATCTGACTCCAAGCTGTCTGCATGTATTACATTACAACCACAAAAATAGCATGTAAAAGTTTGGGCATGTAGATTTCACTTTCGGACAAGTAAAAGTAATAGGGCACTTGCCCAACTGGACAAGTTGGTATAAAAGTAAATGTCGAACCCTGCTGTATGTAGGTACAAAAATGTATATTTAAAGGAGTCCTACTTGATCATCGTGTAACTTGTATGTACATCTAAGGGAGTCCTACTATGAGTTACAAGAAGAATGTCCTGGGACCCTTATTTAATGATTCAGTCATCGTATCAGTGACTTTGGAAAATGTGGTTTTTCTGGGATAGCTCTTACAGATTTTTTGTGGTATTTGCTGGAGCTTTTGGACATAAGAGTGCACTCCATATAGAAAACATGGAAATTAATGACCCAGATTTGGGTTTAATTGGGACCAAAAAGTTATTGACACATCAGACTTTTTCCAAAGCAGATAGACTAAATTTAAAAAAAAATGTAAATTCAATTTGTTGTATATTGCAATGGACTTAGTTGGAATATGAATTAAATAGAATTAAATATGAAATTAAAAAGTTATAAAAGTGGTAAAAACTGGAATTAGTCATTGCATGTTGTACAACTGTAATATGAGATCTTAAAAAGTTAAATGCTAGGATTATTTCCTTTCTTGTAAAGAAGGAAATTAAGTCATAGGAGTGGTTTGTTTGCCAATAAATCACATTAAATCTAAATCTAAAAGATGGAGAATGCATTTCAAATGCATGTGAAAAATATAAGATGTATAATTATCAAGTATTTAACTCATACTTCTTGAATCAGCAATATGGTCTACAGCACATTCCAAGACATGAATACTACCAAGTTGAAACCCATTTATACATCAAAAGTGATACAAATAATTTTGGGGCATTGGGTTTTCAGCTATATAGAAATGTCTATATATATGTACTTAGGGACAACATCAAAAGATCGATGTAGGATAAAAAAACTAAGTTCACATAGTTAGGAGGTGTGGGTCAAACTGGCTTCAAGTTTTGTGATCCTATATTGATTTTTCAGGTTATAGAAACACATATATAAATTCGATCCTAAATGTTTTGGAACTTTCATGCAAATAAAAAGTACTACATTATAAAGGCTAGTCATTTTTGGGGGCGAAAAACTCTTCAAAGATACCAGGCTTATAATTGGGTATGCCAGATGCATGTTTCATCTACTTAAGACTCATCAGTGGCGCTCTATAAATCAAAACAGTTTAAGTGAAAACTCAAATATGAAGTTGAAGATCATTAAAAACGGAAAATTTCTAAAAGTGAACAGTATCATGGTACCTCTGTCATTGGAATCATAAATAAATGGCAAATTTCAATCTCAGTAAAACTACAGATCAACACAGTCTCAATTGATGAAAAAACCAAAGTTAAACAAAAAATGTTAAAGTTATATAGAATTACTGGGAAGTTTCTGGAACGGATGATAAATATTATATAGGATTAGGATATAGATTTAAATTTACAGAGATCATTTCATGTACATTACAGTTATTATGAACTTTTTATGCCCCCGCCGTAGCGGAGGGGGCATTAAGTTTTACCCTTGTCCGTCCATACGTCCGTACGTCCCAAAATTGGTTTCCGTTCTCTAACTTTAGTTTGCCTCAACCAAATGTTATGAAACTTATACACAATGCTAATTACCACAAAACAAAGATCAAGTACAAATTTGGGTAGCATCACTTTTACAGTTCTTGAGTTATTACCCTTTATAACATTATATGCAAGCAGGGACATCATCTGTGTCCATTCCCCATTTATTTTATAAAGTTATATGGAAGCAGGGGCATATTCCCCATTTATTCAGTGACCTCTCCATTGCCAATATAAAAATAACCTACTCATATTTCCATATATTTTACAATTAAAATGTGTCCTTACTTTAATTTTAAACAACTTACCTATTAAACCACATCATACCTCTATGCAATTGCCCATAGTGGACACATAGAAATATAGGTTCCACACTGACTGTAGTGTACAAATGTATGTAAAAAAATAAATGACAATGCTAGTTGTATCTTTGATGCATCAGCATATTCACATCAATATTTTCAATCAGGTATGCCCTCAGTCAATACAAAGTGAAGACACTCTTCATTGTTGATAAATTCAAGGGTGAATTCAAATATGGTCACTCTTGGTCTTCTTCCAACCTGCAGTAAAAACCAAAGTGGGGCAGCCCTTTGGTTGTGCGGCAGGGATGTATAGATTTACAGCCACATATGGTCAGAATGGGGACGTTAAATCTATTGCCTCTTTCAAAGAGAGTCACACTCTCTTCCCTTTAAGAGCCCTTGCAACAACTCTGAGGGACCGTAGGTGGCCTGTGCAAGTATAAATTTCTGTACCTATCAAAATTTAACTCCTATTACAGGACCTACCTATTGTATGGGTTGTTAGTTTGTTCTCTTATTAAACATGGCATAAAATATTTGCCACTGGACATTAAGGAACTAACAATAAATCAATCATTATTGAGGAAACAACACTCATAATATTGCATGCTAAAATGCATTTAAAAACATGTCTCAAAGCATATGACTATACCTGTTAATCAATATTTTCCAAATCAATTTACAAGGGGGTCCAGGAAATATCTATGTCAATTAAGTTTTTTATCCTTCATTGAACTTTTGATTTGGTCCCATAGTGAAGTTTTCTCACTCACAGTACTGAAAATTTGATTTGTATTGATATACAAGAAAAGTAGACAATGTAGACCATGCAAATGTACTGTCTATAAATAATGATTTCATATTATACTTGCTGTTTACAGTTTAGCCTGGTTACTTTCCAGGTAAATAATATATACCACATCAGCATCCCTTGCGTATTTTTAATACCCCCAGTTGAAAATAAGGAGATGTGGTATGATTGCCAATGAGACAAGTATCCATGATAAACTATAGGACAAGGATAATAACAACTACTGGTGACTGTAAGACTTTCAACATAGAGCTCAACCCATACCATACACTGGTAGTATGTTATAAAAGGTCCTGGGAAAACAAAATGTCATACAATTAAAAAAAAAGTAATTGCCTGAGTTTACTGTTTAGCTCAAGTTCACTAAACAGTGCTTTCCCCTTGATACTTGCATCACCAACGGCAAAAGCAGGTCTATTAAATTTTCGGTAAACTATATGTAGCTTCTGTGGAAGGGAATGATCTGTTATTTCTTAGAACATGTAACCTCAATCAATTGCATGGAGCGATTCAGGACAAGACTAATGTTTTGGTCTTATTTTTGATTCGCCTTGACATAGTCAAAAAGCGAGACATAGGTGGTGGCAGCGGCGTCAGCACAGTATTAGTTTGTGATTAGGTCAGTTCAAGGGGAACCATTAGTTGTAGGTCAATGATATTTGGTATGCAGTTGTATATGCATTAGCACATCTCATTTCCATGGAAAATATTTGGCCCCGCCCCCTCAGTCATGGTCTATTGACTTTGAAACTTTTGCTTAGTTTACATGTATTAGTTTGTGATTAGATCAGTTTAAGATGAACCTCCAATGTTAAGTCAATGATATTTGGTATGCAAATTTATTGACATTTGCAAGTCTTGTTTCCATGGAGATTATAAAGCCCCACCCCCTCATCATGGTTCATTGACTTTGAAACTTTTACATAGTTTACAAGTTAATGTTTGTGTTTAGGTTTGTTTAAAGG